CAAAATATAGGGAGGACAGAATTGAGAAGAAATGGTTAGTAAAGGTTAAATTATCACGTACACAAATAATTAAGTAAATTGAAAGATTAACCATGAGTTCATCTCAGTGAACTGTAATCATAAAATGAAGAAAACTGTAACCTAACAGAAACACAATAAAGACGTCTACTCGCCAGGGTAACGTGAAATTCCTCACATTATATTTGTGTAGACAGAGATTAGGTAGGCTTTTGTTGAAATCTTTTGATAGCAATATCTTTTGCGAAGGGAAGTAGCCAGTCTTTGATTCTTTTTATAGAATTGACAATTCCAGCTGCATGCCTCGTATCAAGCAGATGCTTGGCGACTGCATTTGTAAACACTTTCTTACTTTTCATACGAAGATTGTTGGAGATGATTTCAGAAAATCTAGCAAATGCTCTCCTCTTAGTTCTTATTTTATCTATGTCTTCTGAAGATCAGTTGTATGAAGAATAACAGATGAAGTATAGAACGCAAAATAGGCTGAAAATATTTCTTAAGTTTTTCAAATTCCTGACAGAAATGTTGATTGTAGATTGGGTGTGACTTTTATAGTTCAGAGATGGTGTGGTGGTGTGATACAGACAATGTCTTCCAACGGAATATTATTCTTACATATTCCCACAGTTCTATACTGAGTTAGTAGGAGAAAACTATGTATATTTGAACCATCTATTTCACACGCTCAGTGATTGGTTAACGAATATAAACTGTATAGGTATAAATAGCTGTTTGGTCGCTTAAAAATGTCCCTTGACTTCCGTGTCTTGCCTTCTGCTGTTACATTTGATGTCGCTGCCTATTGACAAATGGAAACTGTAAGCCCTGCAGCGTTTGAAGAAGGAGACGCATGGATCTTCTTGCAGGAATTTGAGTCTGTTGCAGATTTGAATGGCGTTCAAGACTCGTCAGCGAAGAAGCTTTTACTTGGAACGCTGTTAAGAGGTCGAACGAAGGCAGCATTTGATAGTGTGATGCGAAACACAGGGAAGTACATGCCAAGGTCACACAAACTGCTTCCGGAATGGGAAGGACTCTACACGGTCGCTACGAGACGTGGTCACGTATATACAATCAGAAAAGCAAACAAAGAGAAGCGGGTGAGCATCAGCGAGCTCCGGAAGTGGATATTAGCAAAAAAAGCAAACAAATACACCAGCACTAAAAAGATCGGACCAACTTCAGTCAAAAATCTTTGACGCGGAGACGAGTGTGGTGGTATGATATAGACAATGTGTTCCAAAGGAATATTATTCTCACAAATACTATTCTCACAGTTCAATACTACATTAGCAACAGAATACTATATGTGTATTTGAACATTCTATTTCATGTCGTTTAATGTAAATCAAAATCACACGCTAATTGATATACCTTGGCTTCCGTGTCTTGCCTTCTGATGTTACAATGGTAATTTCATGAAGGAAACTCTGAAGACTGCAGATAAAAATATCAGTAGAAATCTAAATGTAAAGCCGAAGATTAAACTGCATGACCTTCTTTTACGATTAGATTTTTAAAAAAAACTGTTATTTTCTTAGATATAAGAAAAAAACTTGGGCACTGTGGTAGAGTGTAATTCCATTATGGGTAAATTTTATTTTGATAGAGTCTCACAGTGTTATACAGTAATATTTACTGTAATATTTACAGTAAATATTACTGTATAACACTGTGAGACTCTATCAAAATAAAATTTACCCATAATGTTATTTTCTTAACTTATTTCAAGTCTGAGCAAGCTCGTTGTTCAAATTTCAAATGTTCCAAAGACTATGGCCACCTAAACTGGATTCATAACTAGTTGGATTGACCACTTAGGGTGAAGTGAATACTCGTAGGATGGGTGGGTTGGCGGTAGTGCTGCACTGCGAATGAACAGAAATTAGACTTCATAGTAGATGAATGTCCAGCAGGCTTATCTAGTAAATGGGAACTGCTAAGTTTTATTTTTCATGAAGACATGAGCGTACAATGCAAACTAAGACGATACAGCAGTCCAATGCTCTTAGATTTTCAATTATCTTTAACGAAATCTTCATCGCGATTAATCTGAATTCCCTACTTCACTGATGATTGCTGGATTGATTTCCTGAAGCTTCCCTAAGACATTCATCACTTTCAGATAAAGCAGAAGCCCATCGAAAGGATTCGTCAAATAGTAATACCATATCACGAATTATTAGAAATTAGAATTCCAGCACGCCAAGTGACTGAATGTGCAATGAGTTTGGCCTCGTAACTAGAAGGTTCCATATTTAATCCATTGTCATGGAGTTGTAAATGATCAGTGATGAAGAGTCGTAAACTAGGACGAAACAGCTATCCAGCATTCCTTGATTTTCAATGATCTCTGTGGCTCGTGTTGGTTTGTGATGAAGTCCACAGTGAAATGAGTGTGAACTCCCATAAAATCTCAACTTTCCTCAATTTCTTCCTTTCGACGATTCATTTTTATTTATTTATTTTATTTTGATTACAGCTTGATTCCACACCGTATTTTTGGTACAGGTATGGAATTTTCAGCATGGATATCGGTAGCCCAAATTTTACAGGCCGACCATAGATATCGGGTGTGCGTCGGCAGGGGATCGAACCCCGGACCATGTGCATGGTCGGCGAGAGTCCTAACCACTGTGCCACCGACGCAGCTTCTGTGCAATAATCGTATTTATATTTAATAAGCAACTTATAAGACCAATCAGACACTGAGAAAATTTTTCCATGAAAAATCTATTACGTAATGTAAGGTGTTACCTAGATGGGGTGACTAAGTGGGAGTCAAAATAGGCGGTAGAAGTCGGTGTGACGTAATAAGTGTGAAAAAATGACTGATCAATATAGTTGTGGGAAGTGGACAAGAACTAGTGGAAAGACGATAAAGTGTTTTCATATAAAATCTGTATGAAAACGCAAATGTTATTAATAAACCGTAATAAAGTGGTAATAAAATATGGATGGTGAGAATAATAATAGTAAACTTGCATAATAAAATGAAAGAAAATTATTTTAGGAATGTTGCTCTGGCCCCGGGGTTGGGCGAGTGAATGCATGTAGTGCTTTCGAATACAGAGGTCCGTTGTCAGATGCTGAATAACCGATGATTCAGCTACGCAGAGATGGTGTATTTAAAGTCCTTTTTGGTGTGGTTGTGTTCTCTGAGCTGGATGGTTTGGTTGCGAAGCTTTCATTGCTCTACTGAGCAACATCTTCAGCGCATACTTCGATGTGAAGATGTTGCTCAGTAGAGCAATGAAAGCTTCGCAACCAAACCATCCAGCTCAGAGAACACAACCACACCAAAATCATCCACCTGAGCTACAAATCTTCTCTATTATATCTAAAGTCCTTTTGTACCGTATTCAGTGACTCTGTGTATCACTGTGAAGTACTAAAACATGAAAGAAAAGCCTCCATCGCCAAAAATCACAACAGTCCCTAAGAAAACTCTCTTCATGAACCTGGAATTCAAAGTTGACATCTTAGCAGAAATTCTTAGAAACAGTCTTTCTAAATGTCTGAAAAAGACATTTCAAGCAGCAACCTTAGGCATCACGTTCTCAAGCAGACAACTTATTCAGTTTAATGTTGAGGACAAGATACCGCTTTCGTCCACCTCATAATGTACATTTGTCAGTTTACCCATTCGTTCGTGTGGAGCAAAGCGCATTAGCCGTACGCAAAGTCAAGTCCGAAAACGCATTCTGAAATACTGTCCAGCTTGGATGGCTAGCCAGAGGAGAAAAGAAGAATACTAGCAGCTGCATCCTCTAAAACCTTGTCAACTCTGGATATCGATCACCCTCAGCTGCATGAATGGTTCACAGTGCTATATAGAGTCACCGAATATCGTACGAAAGGACTTCGAATAAACAATCTGTACACAGCTGAATCATTGGCTATTCGGCATCTGACAACGGACCTCTGTATTCGAAAGCACTACATACATTCATTCGCTATATCGAGTCCAGAGTAACGTTCTCACTATAATTTTATTTCATTTTATTGTGTAAGTTTACTATTATTATTATTCTCATCATCCTTATTTTATTATCACTCTACTAGTGTTCATTAATAACAGTGCCTTTTCAAACAAACCGGACTCAGTATGGGAATATTTCGTTCATTTCCTAATTTTCCTTGTATATGACATCATTCATAGGTAACACTTTATGAGGCAATGGTCGAAATTTAAGTACTTAAATCAATAAACTCTGGTCTTATTTACACTTATTTTGTGATCATTATTTCGTTCCTCGAGTTCCAAGTAGAAACCAGACCTTCAACAGTACATCTTCATTCAGTTTGGTTTCATTTGACCGCTTTCAGTGGTTCACATGACAACCACCACTCTTTAACCTCAGGAAAAACTTCAGGTTCCGTTCAAGGGCCTGCCTTGACTGACTCACTTATTTGATTGCATGGAAGATTTCATCATGATGGGCTGAAATCAGTTAGAGAATAACTGGAAAACCTGGGAGTACTGGACAGCTATTTCCACCATCCTAGTTTGGGACTCTTCGTCAGTACACACCCGCCACCGCCGTTCCAACCCACGACCTCCTGGATACAAGGATAGCGAGCTCGTAGAGCATTGAGTCACTGGGACCCGATCCAATGGTCTTTGAATTCTAACTTCTGCCAATTCACGACATAGCGCGACCATTTCGCAATGCGTACTGATGAAGAGTCCCAACTAGGACGAAATGGCTGTCCAGTACTCTCAGGTTTTCCAGTGATTTTCTAACTGATTTCAGCCCATCATGATGAAATCCTCCATGCAATCAAACAAAATCCCTACAAAACCAACACTTGATCCATTTATTGCCAAAGATCCTAGTTACGTATATTTTTTGTGGCAGGCTGCTGTAGTGTACCGCAGATGGTCCCAATGATGACGTACTGGTTATATATATATACATAATACTCATTCATTTATGTCATAACTACTTATTTATTTATTTATTTTTCTTGTAAAGGATTTAGTCAGTGTGTTGGCTTCTTCAACTAAAGGAGATTATGAAAGTCTTATTAAAACACTGTTTCGTGGAAATTTACAAATATTGGCTTATGATTTATATAAAGGCATGAAAGGACATGGTACAAATACAGATGTACTCAATGAAATTATCTGCTGTTGTAATAATGATGAAATACATATGCTGAAAAGGGCTTATCATGACAGTAAGTACTTTTTTATCTATGTAAATCAAATGTACTTTATTACTGTTAAATGAAACTGTCTAGAAGAGTCTTGAATTGACGCAGTATTATTGATGTAATCGGTGCTGGTTGGCAGTCATTATTGTTATTTCGATAGAGAAAGAAAGACCAGATTTGCAGTATAAAATGATATCGTTCTATTTCACAGGTTCTTATCAGCTGCAAACTGCCTGAAATTACAATGGTTGTAAATAATAACATTTCATACTTCATTGTTTGAAAGGTAATAGAGAAAACATCATAAGATGAACGCATCCGGAATATAAGGATTAAAATTTATAGCTTGAGTTACCATCAATTTATATAATATCAAACTATGAAAAAAGGAAGAAAAAGGGGGGGAGAGAAGACAGAAAACAGAAAAATCTAATAAATAGGGTTAGCTTGTACCGCAACATGGCAACTCAACAAGGTCAAAGTTCATCAATTTGAAAACTTGCTTAGTGAGTTGAACTCACTAGTGTCTATGAGTAATCACTGTAATGAAAGTGATATGGTTACCAAGGGAGTGAGAGATTGACTACACTCTCTTTCTGTGTGCATGAGTTTGGTCTGAGGCGTTTGATTGCAATTGCTTCAGCAAATCGTAGTAAATTCGCTGTCCTTTGTATGCTTAATATTTTGAAGGATTTGGAAATCTCGACAAAATGACCCGTATCCACAAGGTGTCTGGTAATTGCACTTTGTAAATATCTGCTTCCTTTAAAGCATAAGTATCTCGGAATATGCTCTGAAAACCGGATAGAAGCCTTTCTTTCTGTCCTTCCAATGTACTTGCTGCAGCAGGTGCACATAAATTTATAAATGCAGTTGGAGGTAACATCAGCAGGGTACTTATCCAGTTTTGATTGGTTTATAGAGCATGTAGTACTGTATAGTGTCACCAAATTGGGTGCAGGGAAGCATCTCTTGATTGCTCCTTTCATCCTCTTTTCAATCTTTTTCGATACTGTTTCTCCTTTGTATGGGAGGCAAATGAACGCTTTCTTCTTCTCAACTGTTGGATACTTCTCTTTCTCATCTCTTTCTTTGCTGTACTTTAGGATAAATCCTTTTGGATACCCGTTTTCCTTAAGGCATTTTTCAACAAAGCTTAATTCTTCTTCTACCTTGTTGGGCGAACATAACTTCCTGGCCATGTCGTACAGTGTCCATTGGAACCATTGTAATTTCAGGTAGTTTGCAGCTGATGAGAACCTGTGAAATAGAATGATATCATTTTATACTGCAAATGTTGTCTTTCTTTCTCTGTCGAAATTTATCAAGAGAACCAAATGTATAAAATTATTTTTATTATTGTTATCAGTGTTCCCTGAAGTTCTGACTGAAACAACAGGGCTTCAACAGTAAATCTCTACTTTCTTCGTGTTCTCTGCAGTCCTCTTTAGCCCCCCCCTTCCCGCCGTGTCACGTGTGGCCCATACCAAACTCATTGTCTCTGATTCGGGTTCCACTTTGCGTCCTAGCGTACAATATGACAGTCTCCTTTAGCGTGTGTGTTAGATCCATCTCAGTTTCCTTCGATATATTTTTGTTGACCGGTAGGTTCTTGGTTGGTTCAATCCTACAGTCACTTGTTGCTAATTCTTTTACTGTTCAGTCATCTGCCCTTCAGGATGGAGTCAGAGAAGGCAACTTTTGATAGAAGTCTGCATCAGGTTGTTAGAAATATTGTTCATGACTTATAACACTAAATCTGCAAACCATACAGAAGCCTTTAAGATTCTGGTTTCGACATACTCATGTGTTCCCACTTCCCTTATTTGAAATGCTATTGGGTAGATAAATGTAGGGACAGGGATTCGTGCCTGAAGTTGTTATTGTTGTTGTCGGTTCTTTATCTTCACCACCTCTGTCTTCTCTATGTTTGCTTGAATCCCTCCTTCTCTTCACTGTCTGCTACTTTTGTTAGTTTGTTTTAGAATTCGCCTGTAAGTCCTCGAGTGTTTAGGACATTAGACGTAAATCAACCGCGAAGCACAGATCTTCTAGAGTCCTCTTATCAGTCCAGTGTATTCCTATCGTTTCGCTCCCCACAGTATCCGGCATGACGCAGTCCAGTAAGGAATATAATTGGTGATAACAAGAAGCCTTGTCTTACTCATGTCTTCACTGTAAACGCTTATAGCTGAGTATTCTGTTTTGTATCACGTGACATGTAACATTGTCATACATAGATGTTGAATGAGGTTGGTGAAGATTTGCGGCAGTGGAAGGAATGAAACCCTGGGTAGAAATACGACCCGAAGAACCAACAGCGACCTTCGAATTACTGGTTCAGCCACACAAATCCAACTGCTCACAGTGAGTGGCTCCCTATAGGTCATGTGAACCAACGTTTTTTTATCACACTAGCCACATGACAACGTCTCCATCTTTTGTTAGTCATAATCATTTTGAATAAGAAGAAGAAAGGCAGATTTTTAATTAGCAGTAAGACTCTTCTTTGAGGTAATCACTGATACGGTAGTCTATTAATAATGCAACCAGTATAACAGGAGAAAACTATATTACTGTTACTGTGATTATTCCTCTGGAGACCGAATTTAAATTAGGGTTTCAGAGACTGATCTCCTCTTCACTTTGTTCTCTGTAGCCTCTTATATTTGGCTCCACGAATGCCTATAATCTCTGATTTTTTTAACTGCACGATCTCGTTGATATCTTCCTTTGACCCATGCTTATCTTGTTGTTTTTTCATTCGGCTTTCAGTAGAGAGCCAGAAGTGTGGTGCCACTCAACTCTTCCCTCAGTGTATATATTTTAATCCAGTCCCTTCTGCATACTTGCTGAACAACAGGTTATTGGTTGGTTAGTTGTCAGAGATCTTCGTTACATTTTCTTTCTGGCCAGTTGTCGATCTGGTGTTCAATAACGAGAGAAAAGGGCTGCTATTGTTGACGAAGGTCTGAAGTAGGTTGTTTGGAACACTTTTGATGACACGCTCATGAACACCGTGAACTTTATATAGAAGTATTGACTGACTTGACATTATTAATGAGAAAAACGGGATCTTCTTCTGTCACTTAGCAGCACCTGTCAAAAATGGTAGTAATCAACTATTCTCAATAAAATTGAACACCCTTTATGCCTTTAATGCATACTTTAACTCATTTGGCGGAGTACTAGCCGAATTCCATCAGTTATTTTAGGCAGTGTAGCGTTTCTGCAGTGTAAACACATGTCAACTAGTTTGGACAATGAAGTAGAATCGCAAACTCACTTAAGAATTAGACGATTTTTTGGCCTTGAACAATCATTGACCTTTAGAAGTAATTTAAAACCTTAAAGTATTTACAATAAGAACAACAGCTTTCGTAAAATAAAAAGCAATGTTATGTTGAAATTAGAAAAAGGAAGAGTGATTCAGTCACTGAGATTGTCAAGTAACATCGATTGAAAAGATTAAGGCATGCGTTGTGCATGTTACATCACCGCCTTCGTCGTCGAGTAGTAAAAGCTAATGATTGCGGAAGAGTTACAGAGGTAGTCAAATCAGAATGTGGCACCAATCCACGCAGTGTTTGACTTCTGGTTTTAGTCAGTCATTAGGGTGTTAAGAACCAGGAGATTGAAATTTCAGCTCTTAGTACGGATGCTTTAACAATGACTCTAGGTTAACAGGATGTCCAGTTTCATTGGTGATGACAGCTAACATGATGAAGTGAATACGTGATTTTCGTCCTAATTGGGATTCTTCATCTGGGTGTACTTGAATCCATGTTAACCAAAACTGAAATGTTTGTTTAAAACGGAAATCAGTCATCATTTTTTAGCTGAATGCCAATCATCCCACCGTTTAATTAGTTAACTAATTTGTTCCGTATAGGATGTGATAATATTGGACTTTTATCTGTAAGAGTTCGTTATTGTTCACTTATGATGAGAATGCTCAATGTGCAGTGAAACATTGGTTCCACTGGATTTTCGAAAAATGGCCTGAAAAATACATCAACTTTTATTCATATTTCCATAACAGTGTGAATTATATCTTCCTTTTTTTAAGATCTTTAAGATACAGTTTTCAAGTATTGAATCTGTAAGGACTTTGTTTGACTGACTGGAGGATTTCATCATGAGATGGCATCGGTTAGAGAACCAGTGGAAAACCTCGACAGGGAGTACTGGATAGCCAGCCTTTTCTTCCGTCCTAGTTTGGGACTCTTCATGAGTACGCAACCACAGCCAGAGTCTGAACCTAGAACCTTGTGGTTACAAGGCGAGCTATCTTATAGACCATTAAGCAAATGGGACCTAGTCCAATGGATAACCATTGAAATCCTAAACAACTGATCTCTAACTGATGTCGGCGCATGATGAAATCCTCCAACCAATCTTTGAGATAAATTATTGTATGCTTTACGATGAAATTGATCCAATAAACCTCATTTGAGAGGCTTCAGGTAATGCAGAAATTACTCATACTGTTAATATTTTATTCCATTTACAGTCCTTCTGGAAGAAGAACCTAAAAGTAAGTCAATATATACAATGAAATATGTGATTACGAAAGTCAGTTTTTTCCTATATTGAAACTTATATTACTTATGAGTAGTTGATTTGTTTAGCACTTCATTATTTTTCATTTTTGATTGCGCGTGGTTTAAAACAATGAAATTTGACGTATTATATAGGCAATTTCATGATGTTAGATGCTTATTCCGCTATACGAATTTGACTCGGGCAAAAGCAAGAATGTTTTGTGCAGAAGAAGATGGTGTTATCATGAATTAATTGGCCAACTACACTTCAGCTGACTATAGCCTAAAAATTTAATGAAGTATATGAATAGAGAAATTTTCAAAATAACTCATCAATGTGACGTGATATGAGTTAATTGGAAACTCTAGAATAATTGGACACCACTCATAAATTGAACTTCTATAACTTATACACAAAAATTTCAACTTTAAACAAAACAAAGACAAAAATAATAATAAAATTTCGGGTATAGTTGAAATGGAGTTGTCTAATTAAAGATAACTAGGTGATGAATAACTAATAAGTTGATTAATGAAGTATTGAATACAACTCAAATCGAAGAAATAAAACACAAGCCAAAAAAAGCGTAACGAAAGCGAAAGATTATGTGATCAAATATAGAAAAGAAAGAGTGAAGACATCAAGTTTCCAGGGCAAGGAGAGACTGATAACTTCTTCTTTCTAAACATGTGTGTTAAAGTTCAGACGTTTGACTGTAGTCTCAAACTTGATAAGAACTGTATTTTTTTCTCTGTCGCTAATCCTAAAGCATCTCAGGATGTCTGCCTCATAATCTGTATGAACCAAGTGCATAGTCATAACACTGCTCCCCTGATACATAGACTTTTTGCTACATGTTCAGGGAAGGATATCTGTCAATCCTCGAATGCATCAAAGAGTATATTGCTCAATAAAAGGGATATAACTGGGCTTTAAGAAAGGTTCTGGCTAGTAAAAGCACTTTAGTCCAGTTGATCCTGGTGTGGCGAACACATCGCTGAATTGATTTTTTAGGTTGTACGCAGCTGAAGAGAAACTGAAGAAAAAAAGTTCATTCCATGTTCACAAACTGCGGTTTTTAATATTTTTTCGATTTTAAAAACAGTCTGCTAAATCTTTCTCCCCCCACAAGTTTTGTTAACGAAATGCTCTTTATACGGATAGGTCACTGTGGTGTAACAAGTGCCATGTAGTGGCTCTGAGTGAATTCCATCAGCCAATCTGAAGGGCATTCATTAAACCTGGTGACTTGAAATCACTCCACGAATAATGTTGCACTGTTGGATGTAGCCAGCAGAAATCCCTATATCAGCATTCTTCAGCAAGACGTATCTGTAACCTCTGAAATCCGAATCCTCGTCACATAAGACCACAGACACAAACACCTCCAATGTGCTGTTCTTTATCTCTGCCAATTACTTTCAACCATCAAAATATCTTCTTCGAATTCAAGATTCTTCTATTCTCGAATTACAAATACTTTTTAGCCAGGGTTTAGTCTGTAAAGTGATCACTTTTAGATAAAGCTGACGCTGAAATATTTTTTGATGCATATGTGAAAGAATAAGTCAGCTTAAAACGGCAGGCACCAGGTTTGTATTTCACTACTGAAACCTCGAACCACTAATAACTAGGGAGTACTGAAAAGATGCTTCATACTACAGTGCGACTGTTTATCAGTACGTATCAATGACCCCACTAATGATCCATCCCACAACCTAAATCCTACCCAACTTGATAAACTCCGCTGGTCACGGATTCTCATAAGAACTTCAAGCTACTTCAGCCTGTAGCCAATCACTAGTGACAGTTAGCAGCAATTCGATTTAAATAAAAATTGATCACGAACTCACTTCAGCTGGAGACCTGCCGAAGACCAGGGAGTACTAGATAACCGTCTTGTCCCTTTCCTTGAGACTGTTCGACAGTACATACCTATAATTCCCACCGTCAGGGCTCGAAACACGAACCTTCAAGTTGTGAGGTGAGATCGTAGACCATTCAGCCCTTCTTTTACCGGAATTCAATGGCTCATAAACTCTAAATTCTACTAATTTCCCTTACCTTTCTTTCTAATCAATATATATATATATATCTTCTACCATAATATAGAGGCTGATACACGTTCACTTGAAAATGATGTCATCAAAGAGACGAAACCACCATATGAAACTTTATTAACAACTTTGCTACAAGGTAGACGTGATGAAGATCCACCGGAATTAGTTGAAGAAGCCCTAAGAACTAGAAGTACTTCAAGATTAGTTAGTCGAAGTCAAGTTGAACGAGATGTTGAAGATTTATATTTTGCTGGAGAGAAGTAAGTTCAGCGCATCAAAGTTGTGTAAAAATAAAAGTTTTAATGAAATATACTTTAAAGGTGTATGTATACATCTCATACACCGAAGGAAGAGAAGGAATTCACTCCAGTTTTTATACAGATAATGTGCCGTCTTCAACTGATTACGATGCACTGTCAGGAGTTGTTCCAGACGCCCTTGGTATTGTATACAGCAAGTGAAAATAGGAAAGTTTGCAGATGTCGTAAATTTGTATGATGTTCTTCCTGCAAATGTCCAAATATAACTATATCATTATGATAAGTGAGAAACCGTCTGGAGCTAGACTTGAAGGGAGTTTCCACACTAACGGTTAAAACGCACCAGGGATATTCTTACAGCCAAAATGCATGGTGGGCACAATGAAGACAGTTTTTAGATCTGCCCACCTATAGACTCAGGCTAAATCCAGTGAAAGGAATCACTGAAATCCAACGATTACATCGAGCCAAGAGTCTGTGACAGGTAATGGAAAAGGTTTCCCACTGGTTTATTGCATTTAGACTGAAGATTATCCACACACAGACAAAGTGGGCAATCTTTCCTCTTATCAAGAAGAATCAGGAATACTTTTGAAGATGCTTACGGCTTCATAACTCCTTTTTGTAGCTCTTACATCAATCCTGGCATCTAACTGTGGTTGATAATGGACTGTTACTCGCCAAGGAGAAATCTTCAGGGCAATTTTACTCTCAATCTCGACTTCATGTTACAGAGAACTAGTACTGCCCAAGGCGCAGTCGTCATCGAACACACCTCTAGATTTCTGAAGTACATAAAGTCGGCTGATTCTATCTAGACTACTGATTACTGTAGGTGGTATTGCACAGCCAGCAGGGTGCTTTCTCCGTCTACCACACCGCCTAAACGGAAGGTCGTGCTCAACTAATTTACCGCAAAAACACTCTAAGTCGATTAGAGTAAAAAAAATCAACAAGTAATGTTATGCTCCGTGCTGTTAAATCACAAACAACATAACAGTCAGTGCAGGCTAGATGTTAATTCACCACTGGTAAACTAACTTCATCAGTTACCTTAGCGATAGTTCTGTTCTCTGTAACTAATTCGTAATTTCTAGTAAGCCACTCAGGTGTGCGCAAAGTTTCTGTAAGTACCTTGTGCAGGCAACAAAGGATGACGCCCAGGTGTCGATCAAAAACAACTCATGGGTAAAGATTAACTACCACGGCCAAAACCACAGTGACCTTGAACAACCAATCAGAATCCAGATACAAAAAAGTCGCATAATTGCTGAAAAATACACTAAAAATTATTGCAGCCAGGACATTACACTGTATAGTTGTATATTATGTGTTGTAAGAATGTCTCCCATTCACTACACTGATGATCTATAAATAAATCGTACCATACGCGATATATCTATTCATCCAGGTGATTGTAAGTCATGGTACTTTGAGATCCATTGATATTTCTTACACTATTCTTCAACCTACTTCTCACTCCGACCATATCCCTGAATCCTAATCATAACCTTGACCCTAGACCCTAAAGCATAATCTCGAAGTCATAAACCTACCTAACAGTATAGACTTTCAGAAATAGTACCAAGGAAATAAGTAGAATATTGTATTTACCCTCTCCAGGTCAGTGGAATGACATTTCATACCATTCCCTGTATCTGATGGGTTCTTGAAGGTCAACTTTTGAAAGACCTTAATTATGACTATTATACTTTAACCTCGCCAGCATATCTTCTCCGTATGCCAATCCTTCAAGCATAAGTGGGGACCGCGAACATTGGGTAAAAGATAAAAGATTAAAAAATGAACTCGCCTGCGATTATTCTCCTGTTTTAACCCCACTGCAATCGAGCTTCTAACAGCAAGAATACTTTTTCTCTACGTATGCTTAAACAAGAAGGTGTTAAAAGCGTTGTGTAGGCCTCCTAGATACCAGTCCTTTGACATGGTCTATTCAAAAAGAGGTAGCAGAAATTGATCTTCGACTTGTTGACTTTAATGAGAACAATGATCATCTGGTTAGTAAGCTGGTTATCGCCAGTCCCTTAGATGTAGACTGCACTTCTGCATGCAAGAGACGAGTTTTAAGATCCCACTCTTGGAGGCACTGTGCGAACAGGAGGAAAGAAGTTTTTTCCTGTTGTATTAGACAACGAGAAGAAGCCTCGGGATACTAGTTGTCGTAGTTGGTGGGAATAATGCATGGCTTTCTAACCTAAGTGGAGCTGACGAATTAATTCGTGTTAGTAGAATGAGCAACTCTTAACAACTTTTACACAAAGTGATAACCATGAGTTGTAGCTTTTGGATGGCTAGTGCCTCGGCTATGCCCAGATGTCTTAATTTCACTCCCTTTAATGAGTTTGATCGAATCACGTATATTATTTTGGAGGATTTTTCGAATTGCACTGAATTTCATGAATTGACCAGATGTTCTGCCACTGAACTATATACACGTTTCCGTTCTCCTTTTACTAGCCAGGTGGGATAGTGTTCGTGAGCACGTTTTTCAAGTTGGCGCATGGTAAGGTCGATGTACTCAGCTCCGCAAGAGCAAGTAAACTGGTATAGCACGTGAAGTGACCCAATACGACAGCTTGTCTTTCGCGTTCTGGCTGGATAGTTTATTGCAGGAAAACGTTAGTCGAATGCTTTCGGAGAAGTATGTCTTCCTCAGAGATTTGCAGAGGCGTTTACAAAGAATTTCTGCTTCGGTATCACCTGTGAATTCTAGATTAAGCAGTATCTTCTTCGGGAAGTCTTCTTTGATTTAAGATTCTTGTCTATGAACCGAGGAGGAAAACAGTTTTCCATCAAAGTTCCTCGAAGATTACGCAGTTCTTCGTCAATCCCTTCTTTACTGCATATCTTCAGAATCCTCGAGAAGAGAGCGTATATTATGTTCCTCTTTCTGCTTAGGGACACGAAGCTTTGAGAGTTGATGAATTGTCCATTCCATGTAGGCTTTTTGTATATGGACCTTTCCAGATAGTTGCAAAAATCTATTCAGCCAGAACGCCAAAGACAAGCTCTCGTATTGAGCCACTTCAACGTGCTTATACCAGTTTACTTGCTCTTGCGGAGCTGAGTACATCGACCTTACCATGCGCCAACTTGAAAAACGTGCTCACGAACACTATCCCACCTGGCTAGTAAAAGGAGAACGGAAACGTGTATATAGTTCAGTGGCAGAACATCTGGTCAATTCATGAAATTCAGTGCAATTCGAAAAATCCTCCAAAATAATATACGTGATTCGATCAAACTCATTAAAGGGAGTGAAATTAAGACATCTGGGCATAGCCGAGGCACTAGCCATCCAAAAAAGCTCAAACCCCACTCTATGTATCCAAAAGAAATACGTTCAAGCATGAGTTCGATGACCTCTTGAAGTCAAGGTTTCCGTCGTTCCCTTTGTTAAAAAAATTATTACCAGTCCACCCAGTTAGCTGGTTAACTGAAATTCAGGTGGTCTCGAATGATTCGTTACTCTGTCTCTCTCTCTGCCTCACATGAATCGAAACTGGCTACGTCACTCAGTCAGCTCGATCGAAACGACTCACCAGTAATTAGTTAACTTCGAACTGGTTGGTATGTGGGTGGTATCAAACTACTCATATCAACCAGTCAGTAGTACATATAGCATGTAAAACAAGTGTGCAGAATCGCTAGAAAAAATATCTGGAAAGCAGACAAAAACTAGCCAAAATATCATTGGGGTGAAAGGACAATTTTTTAGTTTCAGTGTGAAACTACTCATTTCCTCAATCAGTAGTATCTATCTCAATCTGTTGAATTATGTCCAAATCACAATAAAATTATCACAATTAATCATTATAAATAACTGATTCAATGATACAGTGTGGTTGTCTTTTTTTTCTAATTTTGTATAATTCAGGCGATCTGGCAAAGGGGATCATGATACATTCATTAAAATATTAACAAGACGCAGTAAATATCACGTGAAAGAAATTTGGGATCTGTATTTATCAGTAAGTGAGAGAGTACTGTTCTTTCTTTCCTTTTAGAAGATCCAAAAGAGATTGTGTGCAAAGAGTATTTCTTTTTTGACAGCTTCGTCTTTATCAGGTTCCACAGTTGTCACTGGGCTGTTAACTGGTTGCATTCTTATTTCTCAAAACAGAAAGCAGTATACTGTATATAGTAGGGGGGTGAGTCTTCCTCTGCCTTGCTTACTGAAGTTGGATTCCCCCAGGGTGCTGACTCTCTCCTCTAATCTCTTCTCTTCTCCTTACGTGACTTGCAACTTTCGGGTGAAATTAACCTCGATAAAACTGATAATCTAACTGTCTCGTTACCAGTTACATCTCTAACTGACTGTTTCAAACTTAATGGCTTTTTGTTAGATATCAGCCAGTCATCTAAGCTAGTGACTTGCTACAGGATAGAGTTTCCTGGAGTGAGTTCTTTTGAGAAGTTGTGACCAGTGGGGTCCATGCAGTCAAGTGTGAGGGTAGATTCCCCACCGATGATATTGGTTGGTGGTCGCGCTAAAAATCATGAATTGATAGAAGTTGCAGAGAATTTATGGGCTGACCATTGAATCGGGTTCCAGTGGCTGAATGGTATACAAGCTTGCCTTTTAATGGGAAGGTCGTGGGTCCGAACCTTGGCAGTGGGTGCGTACTGCCGATGATTAACAAACTAGGATGAAACAGCTGGCTGTCCAGTACCCCCAGGGACTCACGGAATATACACATTTGATCATAGGGAATAATAAAAAGATGTTTGCAGCGAAGAAAATTTTCTTTTTGACGAAGTCATCAACTAAGTAGCTGTACATTCGTCTATTTATAATAAATGGGTGGGTAAGTTCCAGGATAATTTCCGATCAAGGGGCAAATTAATAATAAACTACAATTAGGAATTAAAATGCCATAATAAACAGGAGGGACGGATAAACCTCAGACAATGTAGCATCATAATTACTTGAGAAGATTTACACATTGTGCAATTAGAGGTTATAAATGTAGAAAAAACAAAATAGACAGGATGTTTGGATATGAAAATATGTTAGTGTAAGTAGGGATTAAAAAGAACTTTAAAATATTATGAATAAACAGGAATTAAGAAAGGCAATGGGATAGTTACTATTAAAAGAATTGCCTGTTTATGATGGCCATGGCAGGGACAAGGGTTGGAGTATTTCTCTTGGACACATAGCGTGTGTTTGAGTTTTTGGATGGCTAGTGCCTCGGCTACGCCCAGATGTCTTGATTTTACTCCCATTGATAGGTTTGATCGAATCCTGTATATGACTATAAAGGATTTCTGGAACGGTTTTCTAACTGACATCAATCCATGGTCAAATTTGAAATAATAAATGGTCTTACCTTAAATCCCTCTAAATGCCAAACGTTCACTTCGCCTTCACGCATAAACATGATCTACACGAAATTTTCTGTTTACAAGATGCTTATAGCACGGAGGGCGCTGAAATAGAAACGAAGTCAAGCATAAAATACTTTGAAGAGCTTTTGTCCTCTGACGTTTCTTGGTCATCCGATATGTTGTCGATTTCGAGGCAAATGTTCCATCTAACCTACTACATAAAGAAGTAAAGATCATCAGAAATTGCTCAACCTCTACTTTAGCAATCTGTTAACTCTTGCATCTTACTTATGGTGCTCTATTGCTCTGAAATGTCCACTACTTTTCAATGATTAATGTTGACTAATATTGATTGATGACGTAATCTACATTGAAATTAATTCGAATTCCTGTAAAATAAAATTCAACATCAAACTTGAGAACAACTCAAAAATGTATTAACTACTTACTTATCTTTCCTGTCTACACTTATTATTATTATTATTATTATTATTATAGTTCCCTTGGGTTCCTAGTGGAACATAGGGCTTCAGTTACACGTCTCCACTTGCTTCTGTCTTCTGCTGTACTTTTCACTTTCATCCATGTTATTTCATACTGTTTCAACTCCTCTTCACACGATCTCCTCCATGTCACCCTTGCACCGACAAATCACTCGCCGCTTCCCTTTCGGGTTCCACTCGAGCTATGGCCTGACGCGCGATGTCACCCAGCAGCCTCCTCAGCGAGTGTCCAATCCATCTCCACTTTCTCCTGCATATTTTTTGGGCGACTGGTTCTTGTTTTGTTTGTTCCCATAGTTTCTTGTTGGTTCTTCTTTCCGGTCCTCTGATCTTCAGTATAGGGCGAAGACAGTTGTTGTTGATAAAGGTCTGCAACAGGCTGTTGGAAATATTCTTTGTGACCAGCCAAGTTTCTGATCCGTGTAGAAGAAGTGACTGACTTGACGTTTGTATTGAAAATCCGAATTTTGTTGTTGATGGTGAGTGACGAAGATTTCCAGATTGGTTTCAGGTTGATGAATGTGTTTCTCGCCTTCCCGATTCTCGATTTGACATCCTCGTCCGTTCCTCCTGTAGTTGAGACAATGCTCCCCAGATAAGTGAATGAATTAACCTCTTTCAAATCCCTCCCGTTGATGGTGATTGGCGCTGGATGTTGCTGCTTCTGATGTTGTTGGTTGGTTATTTTTATAACCTCTGTCTTGTCTATGTTCACCTGGAGTCAGTCCTGTCTTCGCTGCTTCTTCGACCAATTTGTCGGTTTTCGCTCGTAAGTCTTCGATTTTGTGTGACATCAAACATAAATCATCCACGCGCGAAATCCAGGTCTTCTAGGTTCTTCACATCGGTCCAGGATATCCCTGTCTTATCGTTTCCCACTGTCTGACGCATAATCCAGTCCACCAGAATTAGGAATATCATTGGTGATAATAAGCACCCCTGTCTAACTTTTGTGTTTACTCCAAACGCCTCGCTGAGTTTTCCGTTGTGGATCACTTGACATGTGCCGTTGTCGTACAGCTGTTGAATAAGGTTGATGAATATTTGGGGTACACCGTAGTACTCCAAATACTCTACACTTAATAATTCTTAATCTATCGATCAGTTGTGCTCATTCTTGTCAATTTAATCTATGAAATATATCAAAACTATTGAAATATTTAGCAGTATGTTAAACAACCCGCCCATTTTTTTGTTTAAATCTGCGTTAAATGTTACAATATATTAATGAATGATAGTTTCTCAATTTTTAATACTTTTAGAGATATCACTGTACATTAGTTGAGACGATATCGAAAAAATTCTCAGAACCATTGAGATCTGGTCTGAACACAATGAGTAAGTGGATGATGTTCAATTGTTCTTTTTATGATGTGTGCATGTATGTGCTAACTCGTAACGAAAATACGGGAGATATAAACATAATAATATTTCAGTAGGAAATAAATATGTTGCCTGATTCGATGAGGTTATTGTCAGAGCCTGTACAATCCCATTCGTCATTATTATTATTATTATTATTATTATTATTATTATTATTATTAAAACGGATTCCTAGGTAAGCATAAGTGGCAAAGTTCAACAATAGCGTCCTAAGGGATGCGAATGCACGAGTGTTCTTGAGCCGAACAATCATAAAAATGAGGAATTTCGCAGAAAAATGACGTTTTTTTACAAGAAAATGCATGGAAACACATTAATCGGGGTATCTTTCTCTGACATGATTTGAAAATACGTCCCAGTTATAATGAGCAGTATCAGTTGCTAATTTAGACTAGCCTCTGTACATGTATCCACCTTGGTAACTGAAGATGAACTGTTATTTTGAATCGTTTATCTCTTTTATCCTGTTGTGCAGTCTTCCCCGAAAGCCTTCGGTTGAATTACTATGGTTTCCAGTAAGAGGATCGACAACTACTTACCAGGGAAATGTGGATAATAAAACAAATTAAAATAAATGACATCAACTCTAAATCTATCCCTAATCGTAACCCTAACCTTAATCCTGACCCTAGCCCTAAACATTGGATGAAATTTGTTCCTTATTTGGTGAATAGCATTGTTATTTCAGCTATGATAATGACAGGTGCCATTAGCCAACGACTAGGATGTGTTCAAGGTCATTGGATCTTTCACACTCCTGAGAGGCTATTGTTGAACTTCGGCCCATAAGTCTTCAGCAGTACGTCGCTGTTTCCCTCAGTTCTCTTCTCTTCAGTCATTTTCAACTGGCTTCACTAATTAACTGGTGGATGGTAACTAGCAGTGGGATTCAGGATGCACATTTCGTCCTATTTGGGACTTCTCATCTCAATGTACCTGAATTCCTCATTGAGTGATGGTTTTCTCACCGAGACCGAGCACTTCGGTCCAGTCAGTTGACGGGAAAATCTGAAATTGAATTAAATGGCTTCATGATTTTCCATAAGCTTTTATATCCTTCCTTTCATACGATCACCCCCACAGGTCATCCTCGGATGCTCAAATCCAATTTCTATAAGGGGTTCCACTAGACAGACGGCCTATCTGGCACACTTTTCCAGTTCGTCTCCATTTCCTTGTGAATATTTATTTGACAACAAGTGCTCGATTGGTTCGTAGCGAAAGTTTTTTTACTCCTTCACATTCCCAGTGGAACATAGGGTTTCAAGCTAGAAGCTTGAAGTTTCTGTAGTAGTGGTGATTATTTTTACAGGATGGGGTTGCTAGCCTAATGCCCAACCTTCCCTCTTTACCAGCCTTATTACTGTCTTAGCTAGGTAAAGGATCCTGGGTATCGAACCCGGGATCATATACATGGTCGACGAACGTCCTAACTGTTGTGCCACCGACGTATTTCGTCGCCAAAGTTCCTCGTTGTTAATTCTTTCTGACCAGCTATCTGATGTTCATTATGAAGCGAAGACAGCTATTTAATGGCAGTCTATTATTATTCAGCAATACGAATGTGTGACACAATTGTGAGACAGCTGGTCAAAAATGGCTTCGAAAGATAGGAAGGGATTATTCAATAAATTACCAATACAATGAAAATAGGGTTTTTAAACTTTGGTCAAAAGGTGAAAATTGTAATTAGATGAGGAACAAGGGAGTTGTCTATTCACTCGATGAGTGTGACGAGGTTGGGGAAAAAAAACTTAGTAAGATACATAGAAAACGAAAATGCGAGAGTGGTAACAATGAATCAGTTACTAAAATTAGAGTCCCACAAGTAGACAAGAGTTGATGCCTATGGTAAAATGAAAAAAAGGTGAATAATCAGTTTCTGCACACAAATTTTGATTAATATAAGTGTAAAACTTGGGCATTGTGGTAGTAAGTAATTCCATATTAGTTTGTTTATTAGATGTATCATACAGTGAAACAGTATTATTTACTGGATGACGTTTCGAACAAAATTTATTGTTCATAATCATTTCATCAATTATAATCACACAACTTCAAAACTTGAGTTTTATAGTTTTCTTTATTTTTTCCTATTTGTCATCGACGGGTAGTAGAATTTTCCAGATATCTGGGAACAGGTGTTGAATCATTCCTTTTACATGTATTTGCAGTTGATTCGATAAACAAAGCTTCTGTTATCAATCTCTCCCTCCATTACCCTGTTACATTAGATTTTAGAACTGTCATCTTATCCCATCCTATTGTATGGATGTGTGTAACTGCATGTAGTGCTTATAGCTGAACTATTCTCTAGATTTCTTATCTCATTCAGGTCAACCAATCTAGATTTTGCAAGGTTTTTATGTTCTGCTAGTCTGACTGCCCCTGTTATACTACTTTGACCTATGTATTTGACCTGACAATCATTGCAGACGGGAATTAGATAAACTAAATTGTTTTGTTTTAAAGGCTCCACAGGAAGGATCCTTTAACCGATAAAGCTTGTTTCTAATTGAGTTTGTGGGTTTGAATACCACTTTTATTCCTACCTTGTTAAGAATTCTGCGTAAGGTTTCCGAGGTTCCTTCCTTGTATGAAATTACTACTGATGATTTAGATTCCTTATTGTTGGTGTCGTCATTGTTATTATTATTATTATTATTGCTATTATTATTATTATCACTACCGCTACTATCATTATTTATTTCATTGTTACATTTCCTTACATATTTCCTGACTAATATATCCGGGTAACTATCAAGTTTCAAGGCTTCTTTTATGTGTAACACTTCCTGCCTTAGATTTTACTTGGTACTACTTAGTTTTTATGCTCTATCACTTAAACAATTCACCAATCCTATTTTCACTGACACAGGATGGAATGATTGGAAGTCCAAATATCTGTTTGAATTTGTGGGTCTCCTATAAACACTGGTGATTAACTTCCCATCTTCTTTCCTGTTTACGTTGCAATCTAACATTGGAAACTCCCCTTCCTGACTTTCCAATTCACTTATGAATTGGAATACTGATGCAAATATGCGTCGGTGGCACAGCGGTAGAGTGCTCGCCGACTAAGCAGGTGTTTCGGGGTTGGATCCCCGGAAACAGACACACTCCTTTACCTCACTAAGACAGTAGTAAGGCCGGTAAAGAGGAGGGAAGGTTGGGCATGAGGCTAGCAACCCCACCCTGTAAAAATAATCACCACTGCTACAGAAATGTCAAGCCTCTATCTTGAAGCCCTGTGTTCCACTGGGAACGTAAAGGAATAAAAAAATGCAAATATGAAGGATCAGTCACACTGTGAAGCTTATCAGGAAATAAAGAATTCACATAAGATCAATTCATACCAAAGTTTATGCTGAAAATGTTTCTTAGGAAGACAGTGAAAGCTTTGCAGTTAAATCACTCAACTCAGGCAACGCAGTCACATAAAACATTTTATAGAAATAGGCTGAAGTGGATTGAATAGTCGTGTATTAATGTTAGATTTCATGTTTGTCTGCTTGTTTGTAAGAATGAAACTGTATGTGTGGTTAGAGACAGTCAACAGGAAGCTCTGTCTGATCTAGGCTTCATGTTTGATGGCACTTGTCAGCAAAGAGTATCAGCCAGGAACAAAGGAACTCAGTCTGCATCGACATCAATCACTAGGCAGACGTCGTACGACATTGATTACTTACTAATGACCTATCAGTGTATCCACTTTAGTTCTGCGCGAGGTCTGTCGCGAACCGTAGTAGCTCTGTGATTTCTTCTGTGACTGCGTCATAGAATGTTGAACGTTCGAATTTCAGATGTCCTAGACCCTTCTTTCTGATGAGTACCAGGATTGGGGCTTCCTATCGACCACTTCTAACCAACTGACATCATGCTGGAGACCACATTGCAAAGATGACTGTCGGAATTCAGTCGACACCAACACAATGGAAGGACTAGACAGACAAATAGGACACTACTGACCAATCAGCGAATCTGTGTTGTGTGTGTTTGTGTTGGTAAACAACTTTTTATGGTCATTACTCATGCAAAATTATTTGAAATCAATTCATATTTATGTATATGTTTTCCGTGTCTTTCAGTTATGGCGCTTAAAGATTTACGTCTTTTACTGGTATGTCAGCTATATGACAGTATGTATGGACTAGGCACACGAGAAGATACACTGATACGTATTATCTGTCTACGTTGTGAGGTAAGTACACTATCTAATAGCAATAGTTCATTTCTCATTCATTTGAAGCCCGATATGACAAAATACGGTTTTCAGCGTTAATCTTCGAAGTATCAGCAGCCATTTTGTTTTAATTTTCTCGAGGGGAGGGGAGTTCTTAGTCTCAGACTCTACCTTCCATCTTTATCGGAATTACTACCAGTTAAGCAAAGTTTAGGAGTGTGTGAGAATCCAAACTGGACCTATCTTTACGTATCTCGTGAGTATTCTACCACCTGACACATATAACTGTGGCGAGGTTACAGGCAAGGGAATTTAAGTCCCTTTTGAGATTCAAACCAACGTTACTCAGCGCTGCACTCAAACATGCCGCCACCACACTCTTTAAGTTCATATCAATAGTAATTATAATAACATCACTAAACAATATTAAGTATTCAGTCAAATTTTCAATTTGCTGATTGATTCTTAGCTTGCAATTTACACTGTTTGTGATGGCGATTCACCACAGTTTTCTTTGAGAAGCGAAATTCAGAATTGGTTCAGTTGTCTCTCTCTCTTTGTCTGAGCTGAGTCAAAACCAGGTATACCGCCGCAAATGGTCGGTATGACCTTCCGGTACTTAGATCACTTCAATCTAGCTCACTGGCTGGCTAGTAAATATGCTGTTTGATGTGGGCGGTATACAATCAGTAGTCTTTACCGTCTTCCTTTTCAAGCTATCAGTAATCCATCAACCGTTTAAACTAAAAACAGCAAAACATAATCAGGATCTGTTGGACACGTAGATCAATAGATCTTAGTTTCGAACATATTTTGGCAATTTCATTCTAAATGGGTTGTATCCTTATTTAGTTGCTTAAAAATCCCCATTGAGTCATATGAAAAAAGTGAAGACGTTCAGCGAAGAGACTCTTTTCGGCGAATTCATTCACATAGCTGTACAATCGCATTTATATATAATTATTTGTGTGTGTGTGTGTGTGTACATGAGGTTTGTCAAGTTTACATAATTAATCAGGTAATACAAGAATGATTTAGTATAGAATGAAGGTTAATCAGACAGCAACGAAAGTAAGATTGAGTTAGTAAGTTAGATGACGCAATATAATTGACTAAAATGTTTCAACTTAGATCAGGGTAGCAACAGAGGTAATTACAGGTAGAGACTAAGTAGAAGTGGGGTAGAGAATAATGCCATTTAAATTAGAACTGAAATTGAACAAATAAGTTGGATGACTTAACATAAATGACTAGAAATTGGGCGTTGGTCAAGTCAGTAACAGTGGTAGTGAGGTGAAGAAATTAAATCGGGTGGGGGCAGAGAACAAGAAGGTTGAAAATGTATAATATTACAATTGAGAAGACAAAATAATACTAATGAAGAGACAGAAGAGAAAAAAGATTAGGTAGAACTTACCTGTTGGGTAATAAGATAGATTACGTCCATTGCAAGTGTAGTGATTGAACGAACTTCTTCTATATGCAGAGTTAAGGAGTTAGCAACTGAATCGCCATTGCTTCTGCATTTGGAAGAAGTCTGATTCGTTCACCTTTAGGAAGACTACTTCTTAGTCTGCAGACAAATATGAAGTTTGTTTAAGGTGTAGCTTGGTGTCCAGAATCTATCAGATGTCCTAAGATAGAGCTGCGGGGGCATCGTTTTTATCCTTTGTAAAACCATGTTGGTAAGTGTTCGGTGATGCCTATAGAAAGAGAACGCTAGGTACGGCCGACATACTTGGCTCCACACGAGCACGTGAATTGATAAATACACAATGATGAGGCCAGCAGTGGTAGCTTATCCTTCACGTTCACATGAATCATAGGTTTACCCGATTTAATTTCTGCACCTCACTACCACAGTTACTAACTCGATCTACGCTCAGTTTCTAGTCATTTATGTTACGTCATCTAACTTATTTGCTCAATTTCAGTTCTAATTTAAATAGCATTATTCTATACCCCACTTCTACTTAGTCTCCACCTGTAATTACCTCTGTTGCTACCCTGACCTAAGTTGAAACATTTCGGTCAATTATATTACGTCATCTAAATTACTATCTCAGTCTTACTTAAGTTGCTATCTGATTAACCTTGTTTCTATATTAGATCATTCTTGTATTAACTGATTAATTATCTAAACTTGACAAACCTCATGTATATATATATACACACACAAATAATTATATATAAATGTGATTGTACAGCTGTGTGAATGAATTCGCCGAAAATAGTCTCTTCGCAGACCATCTTCCCTTATTTAGTTAACACATAACCTCAAATCCGTGCAGATTGGCTAGTAGTCTTACCGATGTACCATACACGTGTCCTTTACAAGTCTGTTTAGTACATTTGTCGCATGTGCTGTCCTAGTGACGGTTTACTAACAAGATGCAAACTTTTAATGGAATGGTTAGTAGTGGAACATAGGGCCTCAATAACACATCTCCACTCTGTTCTATTTTCTGCTGTCCTGTTCAGCTGGGTCCATGTTGGCTCATAATCCCCCATATCCTCTTCCTCATCAAACGATCTCCTCCATGTCACCCTCACACTGAAAACACACCTGTCGATTCCCATTCGGATTGCACACGAACGATGCCCTACATTTTGCACGATATCATTCGACGGCTTTCTCTACGAATGCCCGATCAATCCATCTCCATTTTCTCCTGCATAATTGTTGAGCGATCGACTCTTCGTTGGTTTGTTGCCAGCCAGCCGAAGTTTCTTATTGCTAAATGTTTCTCGCCGTCTGGCTGGCCATTTGATCTCCAGTATGCAGCCAGCCAGCCAGCCAGCGAAGGTGACAGCTGTCGATAAAAATCTGTAACTCGTTGTATATCCTTTTCGTCACATCCATTGCAAGTTTCTGACCCGTTTAGAAAAACTGACTTGACACAGGTGTTGAAAATCCGAATGATGTTCTTTCTACCGAGACAGAGTGCCGAAGATTTCCAAACCAATTTCAGATTGAAGAAGGTGTATATTGCCATTCCGATTCTGGCTGACTGGCTGGCTTTGATATCTTCATCTGTGCCATGTGCCTGTGATTGAAACAATGCTTCCTAGATAGATAAGTGAAGGAAGTAACCTCTGTTAAGTCTCTCCCGCTGACGGTGATTGGTGCTGGCTGTTGTTGTTGGTTGGTTGGTCGGTTATCTTCATCACCTGCAACATGTCTGTGTTCGCCTGGAGTCCTGTCTTCCCTTCTAATTAATCAGTTTGTTGGTTTTCCCCAGTAAATCTTCGAGCTTGTGTGACTCTAAACATAAAGAGTTCACTCGCGAAATCCAAACCTTCTGGAGTCTTCTTATCGGTCTAACGTATTCCTGTCCTCTCACTCCCCTTGCACAGTCTGACGCATAATCCAGTCTACCACAATAAAGACAATCATCTTGGGTGATAACAGGCACCCTTGTCTGGGCATACACATTTACACAGAAGGCAAGTGAGCATGAGCACAGGCCAAATTGTGTACAGTTTAAATGTCACAAATAAGGGATAGGAAGATGAAGTAAGGGTATGAGGTAAGAGAAATAAGAAGGGAGATTGTGAAAATATAATTAAGTAAATTGAACATTCCTTCTAAAATGGATAATCAAAGTAAGTTTTTGGGCACATGAGACAGGTTTAAGCCATTTTATTGTCAAGGCATCAACAAATTTAGTTATGTGACCCATTTTTGTGTTATATATACGTTTAGAGGCATTACTGAAATCAACCTTGTGACCCATTTCTATGATGTGCTTTGCTATAGATGATGTTGGACATTTATTTCCGCGATTAATAGCATCCGGTGATTCGTTGAATCCTTGACCATAAAAAGGCTCAAACCTGTTGTTTGTGTCGAAAAATTATTTGCTACTACTTTAAACCTGCCTTGGTAATTCAATTCAGAACCATGGTCTCATTTACTTAATCATATTTTCATCCTCATACCCCTTATCTGTGACCTTGACCTCTACGCTATTTGACCTGCATTGCCTTCTGTGTAAATGTGTATAACAAGTACGTGTGTCGCCAGAATTTCCAAAATATGTTGCACAAATACACATTACACACGTTTCAGATAGACTACTGTACTGCACAGTGAGCAACAGTCACGCTAGGGAAGAAAAGCAGAACAAGAGCTCGTCAAGAGCATTTGGTTCAATGTTAGAAATCAGAGAGCGTGAGACAACAATCCCTCAAAAACAAACAGTCTAATTATCATCATTGATACTGAGTCCTGATAGACATTGTGCCTCTTGCTTCACAGGGTAGACTCCTAAAAGGGAGAAAAAGTGTTAAGTACTCTATCTATAATAGTTTTCATTTTATTACACTACGTCTTGTTATTGTTTAATCGAAATTCATAAAGAGAAGTAATTGCTTTAAACTAATGTATATCCTTCCTTACATTTATTTACAATCACACATACACACACACATTTAGCTTGACATGAACACGCTGAAGTCAATGTATCGTGAATTCTTTGGAAAGCCATTGATTGAAGCTGTAAGAGAAGATACTTCTGGAGATTTTCGTAAATTACTTCTTACATTACTTGGCGAATAAATGTCAGAGAATGGAAATACAAGTCGAGGAAGAGGAAAAGGTGGAAGAAATTATTGTCTATAGGTTGAAGAATAAATTAATATTTTAATTTAACTCTGAAAAAGACTTTACAAAGTAGATTACAGTGAAGTTTTCTGACTTTCTGTTTTTCTGTCAAGTAAAAATTTCACCGATGTCTGTTTGCTTTGTTTTGTTTTTGTGTTTTGTTATTTCGATTTCCCACCTATATAATAAAACTATACTAGGTCTTTTAGTAAATTTTGATATTGTTATTACTACTAGTATTGTCATCTTTCATTATGGATATTTCGTTTGTTTCTTTGGTTGATTGATTTTCCCTCCATTTTATAAAACATTAAAACAAACTTAAGCGGTTTTTTCAAAATAAAGTATTACCGTAAAAAATAATTTTGATTTTGATGTTATTATCATTATATCAATAATTTAATAATTCCCATTGTAGCATTAAGAGCACAATATTCAACGAAGTGACTCTTTTCAATAACGAATGTATTATCAAGCTGTACAACCGTATATATATATGGGTTTTTTTAAGAAATTATAGCCGGTGAGGGAATTAGGTCAGAGGTGTGAATACATGAAATGATAATAGTAGTAGTATGAAATGCGATTAAAATATTTGTGATTATAATCATAGTTAAATGTCAAGTAGCAAAACAATCAATGTCATGTATAGAATAATACATAAGACGGGTGTACAGATTTTCTTGTGCTACTTAGTGCTACTGCTCTGTTTGTTAGACACTTGAATAAGCCTGCCTTAACAGTTAACGGATGAGACGAATTAAAGTCTAAATATCTATTAGCAGAATGCGATGGTTTTTCACAAACGCCGCTAGTGTGTAGTTTACCTTCTTCTATTCGTTTTATTTTACAATCTAACATCACAGCTAATTCTCCTTGTTCATTTTCAAATCAGGAAAAACATAACTACAATAATGAAATGTGTTGACTCATGTGACCTATATACATGTAACCATGAAGTGTCTTTTCCTACCTGATTGATTATTTTAGATCAAAATGTTCAGTCTGAACTGACATCTCGGCTCCTCGTACGGATGTATCGACGATGCCTTGAACCAATCTTGATGTTACTTGGTTGATTAGTAGCCAGCAGTAGAGTACATGAGGCAAGTTTCATCATATCTGGGACTCACCATCTGGTATTCCTGCTCTATACCATAAACCAGAGATGGTGTCGTTAATATCCAGCCAATGAGTCATAAATCTGCCTGAGTGTGCATGCATCCTCGGTTTTAAAACCAACCAAATATCATTGTGACTGGACAAAAGGAATTAACTGGTTTCATATGTCTAGTCCTGCATTTGGTACAGGTTGATTTAAATTACTTAGGTGTGTACTGTAGCCACTCTGAAATGTTGTTAGGTGAGGAGGAGGAGGCAGTCGACAACAAGCCTTGAACCTGAGTTTCATACTTGCCGAAACTCGTCCTCAGGATACATCCACGATCTCGAAGGAAGTAACGATGTCTCTTCTGAGATTCAAACTCAAGTCACCCTGTACTGTGGTTAAAGACACGACCACTGAGCTTCTCAGGCTTACAAACCTCAGAGGAGACATGAGTTCCTTCAAGATTATAAATACGCCTCACTGACGAGTGTCAACTTGCATTAAACCTAGGTCCGAAGCTTCCTATCGACTATCTTCTACCACCATCTAACTATTTTATTGATCTGACAACTTCACCCTTTAACTGTTACTTCTTGTGCAGTTTATTTTAATAATTTTTAACCACTTAAAAAATCATGGCACTGTATATTACATAACTATCAGTATAAAGCTTTCGCGACCCTACATTTTAATCGTTATCTTAATTAGCTACCCCTCTTTGCATTATTGACTACCTACGAGAAATGAACTTCCTGAAGTTCCTAATATACGAAGTCATGACCGATCATATCGAATGCGATGAACGACTAATTGATTGATTTTTGCGTTACACAACATATTGACAAGAGTTTTTTAAAAATTTCACAGATCACTGAATTTCAACTTGATAGGTGAACTGGCAACAATGTTACCTTGTTATCTGAGCGTCCTTGATCCAATCAGTGATGGGGAAAGGTGTACACGCCCTTCTAAATGGTGCCAAACCAGGGTGAGACAGTTGGTTCACAAGGATTCTGTCTTGACTTATGACAAGGTCTTCCTTCAAAACTAATACCACTTAATATCATATCTAAAGATACCTGCCTATACGGCTACCACTACTACTGAATTGTTGGTTTGCAGGGATTTGATTGATTTCACAACTTCATCATGAACTAACATAGGTTAGACTTTGGGTTCGAACCCTGGAGGTGGGTGCGTACTGATGAAGAGTCCTAAACTAGGACGGAACAGTCGGCTGTCCAGTACTCCCGACGGTCTTCTAACCGATATCAGCTCATCATGAGATTATGTAACCAATCAAATCCCTGCAGACCAACACTAGATTATCAATTTAATGCTCACTAGCGATGACTGACCCTATTCAGGTAGGTAGGTAGGTAGGTAGTTACCTGGATTCTAATGAGAAGTCGTGACCAACCAGTGAGATACCGTAGGTTGGGTGTGAGAACAAATACTCGCACCACCAATGACATTGGCTAGTGCCAGTCGCGCAATTATCGTGAATTGGCAAAAGTTGGATTTTATGGACTGGCCAGTGGCTGGATCGGCTCCTAGCGGCCTAATGATTAGGTTCGACCCTTAGCATTGGGTGAGTACTAATGAAGTGTCCCAAACTAGGCGGACGAAACCACTGACTGTCCAGTACTCCCCCAGCTGATGATGAAATCCTGATACCATTCTACTGTCACAACCATACATACATACACATGGTCATGAACTTATAATTCACATTAACTTCAAAACTATAATAATAATAATAATAATCACAATAATAATAATACAAATTAATTAACATTACACAAGAGAGAAAGACCAAATAAAAAAGAAAGAGGAGTTATTCGTCAAAATATACACAAAATTGTATACAGAACAACATAATAAGAGTAATAATCATAATAATAATAGTAATAACAAAATGAATGAGAAGTCTCACATGTTCATTTCATTTTAAGATCTATGTACAACAAACTGGGAGGCTTGGGGGCGGGGATGGAGAAACAAAAGGAGAAAAAGGAAACAGAGAAGAGTATAAAATACAACAAGATGCAAAATTCTGGAGAATAAATGCGCAAAGACCTAATGTCTCTTTCTCTAGCTGACTGATGGGCTTCCCCAATAACCAGTACTAGTAGTAGTAGTAATAACTAGTAACTTGATCAATTCACCAACTTTTATCAACGACGATGAAATTCATTCATTCACTGATAAGTGAGTGACAAATGGATGAACTCAATGGATCGATTGATCCGAATGTGAATCATATATATACGTCATTTCGTTTCTTGATACAAAGAAAAACACGCAAACACAAACAAAATAATGGCCACCCAGAGAACAAACTGGCGGCGTCAAACGTGTGTGTGTGTATGTGCGGGTGCGTGCGTTCCCGGCGTACAATCAAGGTACACAACGAACCCAATGGAAAACACATTGAAACAAAATAAAATAAAACAAACAAACAAATCAATAAATATAAATAAGTTAACCAACTGAAAAATCCAATTGCTTTTCCCCCCCCTCCCACCGTCTTTCCTTTAAGGAAGGGGGAGGGGGGAGGCGGAAAAGATTAAGAGGAAGTTTTTGGAGGCGTAGGGTGGGGATGGGGAGAAATAAACACAGAAATGACATTTTCATTTGAACATTAGCATTACATGCACACATAAAACATACATACATAGAAGACAATTTAGGGTGGGGCAGGGCGGAGCGGGGCGAGTCGGAACGAGAAGTAACAGCAAAACAAACACCCTCACAAAATACAAACAATGAGAATAAGAAAGAGTAGGATCAAACAAAATACACAAATGAACTGCATCAAATCATCCGTACACATCTGGGCTTTTGTTGTTTGTCTGTTTGTTTTTATTGACAAAAAAAAGAGATCGATAGAAATGTGAAGGTTGGAATAGAAACTGATTAGTATACATATATTTTTGTTGTTTGTTTTTTTATTTATCAACAGCTTTGTAGTATCACTATTTCTAAACATATTCACACAACTATTTATGACTTAACAGGATTAGCTACTGCCGTTGTCGCTTTCGCTGTCGTTGTGGTGGCAGCGCCGGCGGCGGCCTCAACTGACGATGGTGTTGTTGACAGTGTTGGAGTTTTAGAGACTCCTGGAGTAGAAGAAGAAGAAGACAACGCAGATGGTGTGGAATTCACATGTTGATGATATCGTGATATCATTTGACGGGCTAACTGCCTTTGACTCATTGGTATACTCTCCAATGGGATTGGGATTAAACAACCATTTGGACCAATTTTTACAGGTTTTGCATCTTCTGTAAACAAGGTGTTACAAACACGATAAATTTTACGAATTGGCGGTTTAGCACCAGGCGTATTACTATTAGTATTATTACTCCTAGGAATACTTGATGACGGTGATGCTGATGACGATGATGAAAGGGAGGAGATGTTGGTTTCAAGGGAGTCATTGAACCAGTACTACTATTATTATTATATTTCAAAAGTGGTGAATTTGTCAGTGTAGAAGACAAACCATTGACATGATGATAATTCTGATTAACCGGTGGAGATTTAGGCAGACATGGACGTAGAATCGACGGTTGATTACGTGATATTGTATTTGTTCGAAATGGTGAATTGGTGAATGAGTCAGTTGGACGACGCCCGAACACACCACTAATACTACTACTACTACAACTACTATTACTACTATTACCATTATAAGTAGGTGTTGTAGGACTATTCAACTTTGATGATGAATAGGATATTGGTGATTTCGGTAGGATAGAAACAGTTTTACGCGGTTCCAGCAAAGCGGATCGACGTACAACTACTGTGGATAAAGTATCTTCAGGTGAAAATCGTGAAATAGGTATTTTCGGTGTACCACTTGCACTGATACGATTAGCGAATGCTTGATAACTAGCATTATTATTATTATTAGTATTTTTGTCAATACTTCTTCGACTACTGCTGCTTCTAGTTGAATTATACTGAGGAGATGTTGACGTGTTATGAGTAGTAAGATGAGTACTTTTAGATGTGAATGGTGAATTACTATTATTAGTAGTAGCAGTATTGGATCGTTTGACGACAGCAACATTATTCGCCGATTCTTTCCTCTCAATTTGTTTATCAGAAGTCGTTCTGTCTTCATCACTACCAGTTTCGTTATTATTATCATCATCCCCGTCACCGCCATCACCACCACTATCTTCATTATCATTGTCAGATGAATCTTGAGCTTGACGTCTTCGTTCTCGACGTAAATGTCGTTCAGCTCGATCTTTTGATGTATCTACTTGATGAAGAGATGACAGGAGGCTAGAACGAGACTCTTGTACAGGTGTATAACTGCTATCTTGATTATAATTGTGTGCTGACTTCTTACTCTTTCTAGCCTATTGAAGATAAAATTAAAATAAAAATAATAATAATTTCAATCAAAATTATGAATAAAGAAGGAGCCTACGCAATGCAACAGTGGTATATGGTTCTATGTCACCACCCCACCCCTCAATATGTCTGCTTCTATGAAGCTTAATTCCATTTAGGGTACAAAAACAGGCACGTCCATCAACAAACTTCTGAGTATCATAATAGTGCTGCATGATTAACCGATAAAACAAAGTCTATTACTGGCCATCTTTAAAGACATCTTATGTTCACAGGAGACTCAGAGTATTTTATCACCTAGGAGGACAATATTATCCGCACATACTTAAGTCAACAAGACTGTTTTCTCCGGTGAATAAGTCAATCCCTAAGTTGTTGAAGTCGGTTAGGGTCAGTACCATTAGTACATCTATGGCGAAATGAAACAAACTTCAGATGACAACTTTCCATAAGCTCTTACTTACACGGCTGTGTGAGTTCGAAGATTGAGTGACTTGATTAGTGAGACAAAGTTTCTCCCCACTCGGAACATTGCCGCAACACACACACACACACGGTCGACTGCCTCCAAGTCAAGAAATGCAACAAATACTGGATGTCAGTAAGTATGCCTATGTTCTAGAATCCTTTCAATAGTAAGGATATGATCAATACATCGTATTCCAGACATAAAGCCTAACTGATTTGCCCGGGGTTTGTCTCTCTACCGACCGTCGCTACGTCTACGTATGATTGTTAAATCGAAAACTTTAAATACTATGATATTGGACAAGCTTATCCTCATATAATTATCACAGAAAGATTTATCTCCAAACTTATTCTTTTCTATTCCTTTACGTTCCCAGTGAAACATAGGGATCCATGCTAGAGGCATGAAGTTTAAGTAGAAGTGCTGTTTGTTTTTACGGGATAGGACTGCTAGTCTCACACCCCAACGGGTTGATCGCAGACGGAATCTCAGCACGCATACACAGAAGACTCGTTTCGCACATAACAGTTTACGCCATCCACTAGCTTAGTGGACGTCATATATGTCTGGCTGTCGACCAAAGGGCTTGTGTACTGCTCAGCCCCAGTATTCTCTGGCCTTCTTTATAGCTGGCTGTGAGACATGGTCATTCAAAATGGAAGATATGAAAAGGCTAGCTAGCTGTTTTTGATCATAGGTGTCTGCTTTCTATCACCCGTGTTAACTGGTATATCCAGGTGAGCAATAATGAGGTTAGGCATCGGCGGAGTATTAGGTAAGGAGGGAGGGGAAATCAATCGACGAGGTTGTGAAGCAGCTACATCGGTTGAGTGAGATGGTTAGGACATGTGCTACGCATGCCTGGCCATCGCCTTCCTCGACAATGGGCAATGTCAGCTGACATAGAATGGTGGTAAACCAAAATATGGCTTCATCAGTCAGTGGAATCCATAAAAGTTAGTTTAAGCCACGTAGGAAGGTGTAAACTTCTTGGATGCGGTCCTCGGGATAGTAAAAACCAATGACGATCGGTGATATGGTTCAAAATCGTTCACAATGAATAATAGTGCAGATGCATCCACTCCTGGTGATTTATAATATCCAATAAAACTATATTGTTCCTCCATATTACTATTCTTCTTCCCTCACTCACACTTCTGTTTATTATCTCTCCCTTTTGAATCTCTCTTCACTTTCTTCTCTTGCTTTGTTTACAAATGGAGTGTGGCAAATCGAACAGGTGCATATCTATTCTATGTTGAAACCAGTCAGTCATTATTACGAGATAGGGTTGCTAGCCTCATGCCCAACCTTCCCTCTTTACCAGTCTTATTACTGGCTTAGCGAGGTAAAGGAGTATGTCTGTGGCCGGGCAATCGAACCCAGGACCACATGAGGCGTGATTGGCGAGCATTCTACAGCTGTGCCACCGATGCCCATCTCCAAAACGTATAAACAGGGATAATCAATGATATGCATCAATCTAACGGACTTATCTCTGATAGAATCATATGAAGAAGTTATAGAAAAGAATATTCGTTTGCGCAATTTGCTTGCTTTTTACACGTGAACCTCCATCAACACTATGAGGGATTTCGTGTGTGTGTGTATATGTGTGTGCGATATCACGCCGTCTATTACTGGTATCGATTGATGACGAAACCACCTACGTTGATATATCGATACCAACAAAGTTAATGAGGAAATCAACAAACAACCGGGGTTCGACCTCCTGCAGCCGACGCATATGCCAGTTTACGCCGTCTCTGGCTAGTAGACGTAATATCCGACTATCGACCGAAGGGTGTGTGTACTGCTCAGCAGTCCGCTCCGTCCTCCTTTATGACTGTGAGACCTGACCATTGAGAGTGGAAGACATGAAAAGATTAGCTGTCTTCGATCATAGGTGTCTGCGTTCTATATCCCGTGTGAAGTGGTATAATAAGGTGAACAATATTGAGGTTAGGCGTTGAGTGCTAGGTAACGAAGGGAAATCAATCGACGAGGTTGTAAAGTTACATAGATTGAGTGAGATGGTTAGGACATGTGTTACGCATGCCTAGCCTAGCCATCAATCGCCTTCCTCAATGGGCAGTGTTAGCTAACATAGGGTCATGTTGGAAAAGAGCTAGCGACGGTCAAACCAAAACATGGCACCAGTCAATGAGATCGAATCAATTGCGAATACATGTAATAGGAATGATTCATCACCTGTCCCCGATATCTGGAAAATTCTACTACCCCTACGACAAATAGGAGAAAACAAAGAAAGCTATAAAACTCAAGTGTCAAAGTCGTGTGATCACAATTGATGTGATTATGAACAATAATAAATGTCTTTCAAAACGTCATCCAGTAAATAACACTGTTTCCCTCACTGTGTGACATATCTAATAAACAAACTAATATGGAATTACTTACGACCACAGTGCCCACGTTTTACACATATATCTACAACAGTTAGTCTAAGCCACGTAGGAAGGTGTAGACTTCCTGACTGGTTGGGGTCCTCGGGACGGTAAAAACCAATGGTTGGAAACAATTGGTGACATGGTTCAAAATCGTTCTCAATGAATAGCGCAGATGCATCTACTCCTTGTGACTTATGATCTCCAATGAAACTGTTTTGTTCTTCGCTATTACTATTACTTTGTCTCACACCTCTGTTTACTGTATATATTATGCATTTCTCCTATTTTTTTTCTCTTGCTTTGTGTGCTACATGGAGTGTGGCGACTTGAACTGCCGCACATATGTGCAAAGTTCTATGTCGAAAACAGACAGACAGCAGCCGACGCACTCCTGAACCTAGTTACTCAGCCGGTAATAAGTCTGTAAGACTAGCAACCCCATGTTCCAATGTAAAGATATTGAATAATAATAATAATAATAATTAAATAAATAAATAAATAAAATAAAAACATCATATATATACATACAATCTTGATAGCTTACTTCAACCTCCTTCCAATGTTCAACATCTTTGCGTAATCGTAATCGAGCTAGTCGTTGTGCATCAACACGTTCACTTTCTTTATCCACTAATGATTTACACAGATCTTCTAGATTTTTTATTAAACGTTTTAATGACTCCACTGCATTACGTAATCGCATAGTTTGCTTCTATACGCATTTCAGTGTGAGTTGAGAAGAGCAATAGAAAGAATAAAAAAGAAATCAATAATGTCGATATTATATATTACGTGATAACTACGGTTACCGTCACTGTAGAAAACTGATGTACTTAGTTAGTTAGCATAGGGGAATAAGATTCGGGTCCACAACAGTTATGTCAAAGCACAGACAAGACTGCCTACTATCGCCAATGATTATCCTGATTGCAGTAGATTGGATAATGCGACAAACAGCGGGCAATGAGGAAACAGGCATTAAAATGGACACACACAAAAAAACTTGGAGGATCTGGACTTCGCCGATGATATATGTCTGATTTCACATAAACTGGAAGGTATGATAATGAAAAGCAACAAGTTGACGATAGAAGAAGCATCAAAGATAGGACTTCAGGTGAACATAGAGGAAAAAAAAGGTGATGAAAATTCCTGGCCAACACCACCAACAGCAACAACAACAACAACAACTGACAACAATCAGCATAAATGGGAGGAACCTGAAAGAAACAACCTCTTTTACCTACCCTGCCTGGGAAGCATCGTTTCAACTACAGGCGGACGGAACTGACGAGGATATCAAAGCAAGGATCAGGAAAGCAAGGCAAGCTTTCATTACTCTCAAGTCTGTGTGGAGGTTAACAGCACCCACCATCAAAAATAAGATCCGGATTTTCAACTCCAATGTGAAGTCAGTGCTACTACTACTATACGGATCAGAGACTTGGCCAGCGCGTCATAGAGAGCATCTCAAACAAACTACAGACCTTCATTAACAGTTGTCTTCGCTCAATACTCAAGATCAGATGGCCGGCCAGAAAAGATCAGCGACAGAGATCTCTGGGAGCGAACCAACCAGGAACCGATTGTAAAAGAAATAAGCAGGAAGAAATGGGAGTGGATTGGCCATACTTTGAGGAAACCATCAAGTGACATCACTAGACAAGCCATCGCTCGAGTGGAACCCGAAAGGGAGGCGGCGAGTTGGTCGTTCAAGGATGACTTGGAGGAGATCATGTGAAAAGGAGATGAAAGCGTGTGGGCAGACTTGGAGCCAGGTGAAGACTCTAGCAGAGAACTGAAAGCAATGGAGACGCACGGCTGAAGCCCTATGTTCCTCTAGGAATTCAAGGAAACAATAATAATAATAACAGTCAGTGTTTTTTTTCTAACTTAGAGATTTGACGCGTCACTAAAAGCCACTTTCAACAGCTTGTTGGGAACTATTATCAACAACTACTCTCCTTTGCTGCATACTGAGGATCAAATAGCGCCCGCGGGAAAGAATAAGCAAAATGGAACTCTAGGAATGAACCAACTAACAACTTATCGCTAAACAAATGTGCAGAAGAAAATGGAGATGGATTGGACGCATGCTGAGGAGACTGTTGGATGAAACTATGAACCAAGCGCCCAGATTGTGTCCGAATGAAAACGAAGAGTTCGGCGCTGGTCTGAGGGTGACATGGAGGAGATCGTGTGAGGTGGGGAGGAAATGAAAGCTTGAAAAAGAATCGTGGAGTCAGAGAAGAGGGTGAAATGGCAATGTCCTACAGAAGCCCTGTGTTCCACCTAGAACCCAAGAGAATAACGATACGATAAGACATAAGATACAGTTAGATCATGACAGGATCAAAACCAAAAATTAACCGAGTGACTGACAGACAGACACAGAAATCTACCCAGAATAGTGGCTATTCAAATTTCTACACTTCCTAAAATCAAATTTAAGGGCTGAGGAAGGAAAAATGCAGTAAAACTACAATAATCAGAAATGTTCAGTAGAAAGAATAATTATATATGCAGAAGGCATGGGATCCAACCACTCTGTTTACCACTGACAATAACCTCCAATCAATATCACTAACAGACACTCAAGCCAATAATTTTAAGCGTCTCAAGGACTAAACGCCAAAGCAGTCGACACCTCCCTATGTGAGACTCTGCAAACTATATTATTATATTAATTGTGCTCTAGCATTTATTACAGATACATTGATGCAAGCATGGAATGGAATTTAAGTCTCTGGAAATCGGCTCGATTCACATCCATGATGAATATTATAAGGTTCAGTCTCATGGAGAATTTAAATGAGTTCATTTTATATTGAAGCCTGCGCTGAAGAGGGATGACTTCCCCCACCTCCCAATTCATAAGTGCATTGGAAAGTCAGGAAGGGGAGCTTTCAATGTTAGATTGTAGCGTTAAAAGGAAAGAAGATGGGAAGTTAAACGCTAGTGTTTACAGGAAACCCACACATTCAAACATATTTGGACTTCCGATCATCCCATCCTATGTCAGTGAAAATACGATTAGTGAAATGTTTAAGTGACAGAGCACAAAAACTAAGTAGTACCGAGGAAAATCTAAGACAGGAAGTACTGCGCATGCCTAACCATCGCTTCCCCCGACGGGCACTACTAGCTGATATAGGTAGGTGCAGGTTGGAAAAGAGTAAGTGGTGGCCAAACAAAAACATGGCCTCATCAATCCATGAAATCCCTGACAGTTAAACTGAGTCAGGTAGGGAGATGAAGACTTCCGGGTTGGGGCCCGCCCTCGGGACTCTAAGAATCAATGGCTGGAGACAATAGGTGACATGGCTCAAAATCGTTGTCAATGGCTTACGCAGATGTATTCAGTCTCTGTAATCTTGCATATTCCTTCCTACACATTCTGTCAAAACTCTATTGATTCTCTTCTCTCATTTTCCTGTCTACCTTTGTGTGCTATTTGGAACGTGGCAACTCGAACTGCTGCACTTCGGTGCCAAGTTCTATGTTGAATCCAGACAGAGACATTATTAGGTTGGACAAAAGGTAAGGGTGATCAAACCAGAACCTGAAACCAGTTCATGAAGTCCTTGATAGTACGCCAGCCACTTTGGATGGGTGTATGTTGATTGCATGGCTAAGATTCTCAGGATGCTAAGAACCTATGGTTGGAGAGTATTGATGATATGGCTCAAAATCCTTCTCAATGGAGCAGATGAATTCACGCCTTGTGGTCTCTCATATCCTCCACAAAACCGTGATGTGTTTTTTTTCATGTTACGATTCCCTTTACCCACAACCTCATCTATTGACCGACTGACAGAGATGGTTTGGATATGTGTTACGTATGGCCTAGCCTAGCCATCGCCTTCCATGATGGGCAAATATATTAGCTCACTGACATAGGATCACTTTGGTGTAAAGAGCTAATGGTGGTCAAACGAAAACATGGCTGCATCAGTCAATGAAATCGTTTAAGCCAGCCACGTAGGGAGGTGTATACTGCTGACTGGTTGGGGTCATCGGGATGCCAAAAACCAATAGCTGTCGCAAATGCATTCATTCTTTATGATTTATAATATCCAATGAAATTCTATTGTTCTTCCATAGTACTATATTTTTCGCTTCGTTTCTCTCTTTTGAATCTCTCTTTATATTCTCTTTTCTTGCTTTGTGAGCTACATGGAGGAAGATTGGCAACTCGAAATGCTGCACATCTGTGCAAAGTAGTTCTACATTGAGACCAGTCAGTCACTCCCCTCCCTCACAACGGTTTTGTTGATTGTAGTTCTTTCAAATCTGTTCTTTCCTCTCCTTTCGCTATCTTGGAGTGCTACATGAAGTGTAGCAACTTGAACTGGTACTCTTCTAGGCTGAAACTAAGCCCATCAATTCACTATTATTATTATTATTATTATTCCGATGTACTTCGAGCAGTACATACAGCTGCAGTAGCATATCATTATTTCACCCCGTTCTTTGAATTCTTTCTAAGCTGGCTCCACGACTGCCCATAGACTTAGATCTCCTTTATGTCACCGATGAGCCTAGGTTGTTCAACTCGTCGTTTCCCAATTAGGTACCACTTGACAGTTTGACTGACTCGTGATATGACTCTATGATCCCCTCAGAATATGTCTAAGCTATCTTGATTTCTTTTTGCCCATTTGTTAGCTCATTGCCTGACTGACTGAGAGTACCTTGTTGCTTAATGTTTCTCAAAATGTTACTTAAGAACTATTTCCATCTCCATCAAAATGAGTCAAACTCATTTGTGTATTTTACAGCTAATGACATTTACTCTCTAGATGTTGTCCAATATCTAGGAAATACAGTTCCAACCACAGACCAGTGGAACGGATAAAGATGTCAAAGCCAGCCAGCCAGCCAGAATCGGAAAGGTAAGATACACCTTCATCAAAATGAAACTAGGTTGGAAATCTTCGGAACTCCACTTCAGCATAAAGAATAAGATTGGGATTTCCAACACAAATGTGAAGTCAGTCAGTTCCTCTATACAATTCATAAACTCTGCGAACGCGTCACGAAAAGCACTTCCAACAAGCCAGTACAGACTTTTACCAACAGCTGTCTTCGCTGGAGACCAAATGGCCAGAAACTCTGGCGATGAACAAACCAACCAGGAGCAGATCGCTCAACAAATAGGTAGACGAAAAAGGAGATGGATACGGCATACATTGAGGACGCTGTCAAATGACATCGCGTGCCAGGCATAACCTCAAGTGGAACCCGAATGGAAAACGATGAGTGGATCGTCCAAGGGTGACGTGGAGGAGACCGTGCGAGTTGGAGATGAGATATTATGGACAATCGTGCATCCAGCTGTAGAGGACAGCAAGGTGGAGAGGTTTTGATGAACCTCAATATTCCACTCAGAACCAAAGGGAATAATAATAATAGCTGTTTTCTGAACCTCGGTAGGTGCGTAGGCGGGATTCAATCCCGTGACGAAAACATGGCCAAACATTTGAGCGCCTAAATCGATGAATAATACCTTCAATACAAAAAGATAACCAGACTCGCATAAATGCATAAAATACATACCTGAGTATTATCATTATCATCACAATCTGAAGATACACGTTTCTTCTTGGCCGCTGGTTCACTGACTGAATCATCATTATCATTATCATCATCATCATCTTTTTTGTTTGTATCCCCTGAATCATTCACATCGATACCAATACCATCAAAATTATTATTATTATCACTAGGATCATCACAATCGGAATCTAAATTACAATCAATCTGACTTTTCATTAATTTCTCTTCATTACTGGCTAATAATTGTCGAAGAATCAGTAATAATTGATTCACTTCTTGTGTATCTTTCGCTACCAGAGTGAATGATTCTCGAGGAGGTTCCTGAATAATAATTAAAGATTAAAAAATTACATACCATAAATGAATAATGATAAGAATTCAAGTGTATCGCTTTGCAGGGATTTGATTGATTGGTCTCAGGATTTCGTGATGAACTGACACCGGTTAGAGGACCATAGGACAGCCAGCAGTCCCATCCACTAGGCTCCCAGTAGCTTAATGGTTTACGAGCCTGCCTTGTAACCAAAAGGTTCTGGGTTCGAATCCTGGCGGTGGGTGCGTACTGATGAAGAGTCCCAAACTAGGATGAAACGGTCGACTGTCTAGTACTCCCTGTTAGTTAATCTTCTAACCTTTATCAGTTCATTGTGAAATCTTGAGATAATCAAAATTAGTGGTTTAAGTTTCACTTAGAATGCGGTTAATTAAGCACACAGTGTGTATATACATTATGATATGCCGTCTATGCCTATTATACATAAATTCTACAGTTGGCTGAACGACAGGGATCTGACCAACTTCAAGTTTAATCACGAAATGACACATAAGTTGGAAGATCACTGAAATGACAAAGGAGTAGCGCTACTGGACAACCTGCATCCCCTTTATTTGGGACTACTCTGCCTTCAGCAGCAGTATACACCACCCATGACCTCACCCACCAAGGATCGAATCAAGGACGTTTAGACTACTGGGACAGAATCCAATGGCCGGTGAATTCTAACTTCTGCCAATTCACTATATGATTAACGGGAAAACCAACTCACATTTTAACCAATAACATACTCACTCTACTAGCCAGAGTTAGGTGATCGAATACAACAAACAACTATCGCACTTGTTTCCCACAGAGCTCTAGCTGAAGGAGTATACACACAGAAAGACTGGTAAACGATACGGTGAAATAAGTCATTTGTCATGTAAAATAATGGTGTGAGGTATTTTATCGCGATTCCCTTTAAAACCTCGAAACAGTCACATCATAATATGCATGGTCTACTTCATTTTTTTCTCAAATAAGTGAGTGTAAACCCGACACGCTATATACTACTACAAATGCATATCAGTAGTAGTTAATTGGGAAAACGATATCAACCAGTAGTGCTCGCCATTCAAGAATCGTGCTAAAAATACATACGATGCAAACCGGTATGAAAGTTCACGTTGAACTGCGGCTAGAGTACTTAAAACAAAAACCAATCTAATCGGGTTAGTATTTGCTCGTATAAGTGAAACTTTAAGCACACGAGTTCGACACAACCTAGTAACAATAAGGAAGATTCCGAATTCAGTCCCCCCCCCCAAGGACAGTTCTTCCATGTTCTAACGAATCAGTCACACAATTATTGTGTGATTACAAGAGATGAATCACACAAAAATGTCTCATAGTTTGTACAAAGTCTGGGATACTTTCAGGACCGAACAGTGTTGTAGGAACCATCAACCAACACTCCCCCTCCCGGAGCCTTTAGCTTTAAATCTGAACCATAGAGCAGTCGAACAAAGTCACGAGCTGGTACGTTCTCATGGATCCCGGCGACTAAGACAGGTTTGTACGCTATTCCATCTATCTAGATTCTGGAGTCCATGTACACCCCACAGGTTTGAAATCGGGATTTTTCAGCTCCCCCTAGGTAGACTATCATGTCCACTATCAGTCTAGATGTAAGAGCCAGACGTAAGAATTCGGCGCTTCACTTTTGTGAGGAAAAACCTCTCCCTCCTCATGGAGTGAAGATGGCAAAAGCTGTGAACGCGTGATAAAATTTCCAGAGGAAAACCGTAGTCCACGCACTCTCGGTCGTACCAAATCGTTTAGGGAGGTATTACTATATGAAGACTGATAATAGTACCCAGTTGCCACCACCCAACCACCCATCCCCAAAGCTAAGGTACGTGAAAAGGAATCCGAACCCAGGATCCAATACCTGAAAAGTGATTGCTTAAGTCAATGAGCTACAACTCCAGTTGAATAAAACAAAAGTCACAGAATCATTTTAAATGTAGGTTTTGTACTTACTGGTAAAAAGTAACAAAAGGTTATGTGAGAAAACTTATTTAGAACATATGTGCTACTAATCCAGAATCAAGCAGGTGTTTTTACCACAACATCAAACAGGTCACAAGTAAATCCCAGTAGAATTCACTGATGCACACAAATGGTGAGAGATTTAATGACAATCAGCGCATAACTCACTGTCTAGCCCAAAGTCAATGAAAAAGTCTACAGAGCTGACCTGAATAAGAATAGTTCAGCTATAGCACTCACTACATACAGTTGCACACAACCACACAATAGGATGGGATAAAATAACAGTTTTAAAATATAATGTAACAGGGTGGATGCAGAGATTGATAACAGAAGCTTTGTGTATCAAATCAACTGCAAACACGTGTAGTAGGAATGATTCAACACCTGTCCCAGCCACCTGGAAATTTCTACTACTCCAACGACAAATAGGAGAGGACAAAGAAAACTATAAAACTCAAGTTTCGAAGTCGTGTGATTATAATTGATGAAATGATTATGAACAAGAAATTTTGTAGGAAACGTCATCCAGTAAACAATAATACTGTTTAACTTTGATACATCTAATAAACAAAGATGATATAGCCAATAGGTAAGTCGAGTCGATGGTTCAGTGGTACATCGCTTGCCAACCACACTCCCACATTGTCCAGGTTTGATTGCTGACAACCGACGCAATTCTAAACCACACTGACTAGCTGATAGTACGCCCAGTGAACAGGGAACACGTTGGGCATGAGACCAGCGATCCCCCCACCTACTAATAACAACACCACCACTTGAGAAACTTCAAAACTCAAAGTTTCAAGGCATTCAATACAAAAACGGAGAGTGAAAGACTTACAGTGACAAGGATTTCCTCTTCTTCTTCGTCCTCTTCTTCTTCTTTTCTTCTTCTTTTTCACTATTTCTTCATTATTTTTGTTTTATTATTGTTATTATTATCATCTGAAATTTTTTGTTTATTTGATGATGATGGTGTAGAATTCAGTTTGTCAGTAGTAGATTGTTCAGTCTTTACTTTACAAGTCATTTCTTTTTTATTGTCAGGCAGCTAAAAAGTATCAATAAAGTTTTATATCTTTTAATAAAGTAATAGTAATAATAATAATAATAATGGTGACAGTAATGGTACTAGAGAGAAGCACAGATGATAGGGCTTGATTCAAATGAACATGGAAAAAACACAGGAGAAATTCAAAGAAAGTCGTTGCCCCATCCACAACCCCCCCCCTCCGCTTCACTTACCCTAGCATTGAAAGCTTTATTTCAACTATATGGCAGTAGTCGGAATAGATAGGATGAGGATGTCGACACCAGCTGGGATGTGATTGAGAAAGTAAAACAGACCTACATAAGTCTAAAACCAGTGTAGAGATTCGTAGTAGTCAGTAGAAGAAATAGGATATGATTTTTCAACACTACCGATCAATTTCATTGAATTTTAGATTTTCCCGTCGATTGATTGATTCAATTAAATAATTAATATGACCCGTTGCACAAGAGGTGGCGCTCTCGTAGCCCAAGTGGTCTAGTGGACAACGCTTTGGCGTTTGAAACTATGGGCACCGGGTTCGAGTCCAAGTGGGAACACCATCACTCATTGGGGGATTCAGGTGCATCCAGCTGACGAGTGCCAAATAGGACGAAATGCGCGTTATCCTCGTGGATTCCACTGCTAGTCACCATCCACCAATTAAATACTATCGATCAAGTTAGTCAGTGTTTCTCTATGGGGTTTACAGATTTGGTGTGTGACGAAACAGCATTTCTAACAGAGACGGCTGCAGACTTTCATGTACGGTTGCCGCCTTCGCTTGATTCCGAGTGAATGGTTTCAACGTAGAACTACTTTGAACAGATGTGCACCAGTTCGAGTTGCCACACTCTCTCCATGTAACACACAAAGCAAGAGAAGAGAGTAAAGAGAGATTCAAAATACAGATAGTATCCAGAAGTGTGAGTGAGAGGAAAAGAATACTAATATGGAAGAACAATAGAGTTTTATTAGATATTATAAATCACAAAGAGTGAATGCATCTGCGTCAGTCATTGACAACGATAACTTTCAGCCACATCAGCGATTGTCTCCAGCCTTCATTGGTTCTTACTATCCCGAGGACCTCAACCAGGAAGCTAGTCAACACCTCCCTATGTGGCTGGCTTAAACTAACTGGTATGGATTTCATTGATTGATGAAGCCATGTTCTCGTAGGACCACCACTAACCTTTTCTTTCCCAACCTGATTTATCCTATGTCAACTAACATTTCCCGTCGAGGAAGGCGATCGATCGCTAGGCATACATGCATAACACATGTCCTAACTATCTCACTCAATCGGTGTAACTTCATAACCTCGTCGATTGATTTCCCTTCCCACCTGACGTAGTACTCGACTGATGCCTCACCTCAATATTGCTCACCTGATTATACCACCTATGATCAAAGACAGTTACCTGGCCTTTTCTCATACATTCCACTTCCAATGCCCATGTCTCACAGCTAGCTATAAAGGAGGACAGACAGTACTGGAGCTGAGCAGTACACACGGCCTTTGGTCGACAGACAGACGGATATCACGTCTACTATGCCAAACGAGTCTTCATCAGCGATTCTGAAGATCAGACGAACGGCCGGAAAGGATAAGCAACAAGTAACTCTAGTAGGCTAGAAATTAACATCAAGAACCGAAAGCCCAACAAATACGAGGAGAAAAGATGGAGAGAGTACACTGTTTTGAACCTGTTGATCTACAACTCTCTCCAGTTTTCAAATGATTACTACGATTACTACTACTACTACTGTGGTGAGAGCTGGCTGCTAGCCAAAAATTGGTAGATAGTAATTTACATCAGTGTTTGCATCCCCAATATTGGTCATGAGAAAAATAAGAACAAAGACTGATTCAACAACCAGTCAGAGCAGACTTCGCGTAGGCGGATACAATTTGCAGATAGATAATGTGAACTTCAATAAACGGCCACAAATGGATGAAAGATTGACGTTCAGCGAGAAACCACCAAAATCTATAAATATCTGTTGATTTCCTAAATAAACGATCTGTTGCCTGGCCTTTGTGTTTTCTGTTGTTACACTACTACGACAACCTTAGAAAACAAAAAATATTAGACGAGAAAAAAAACAAGCAAACAGATAGTCATCTTACCGGTGAAGTAGTTCTGGTAGACGGCGTTCTATTAGACGCTGGAGGACCATTCTGTTTAGCCACATTACTTAATCGTGTTGATCTACGCGTCTGGACTGAATTCCCACTGATACTTTCATTCTCATCATCTGATTCATATTGACTAACTGATGGTGAACGTGGATCATTTGTATTCTGATCTACTGAACGTGATTCAGTATCATCATCACCATCAGCGTCATTCTCTTCCTCCTGATTATTATCATCATCGTCACCACCACCACCACCATCATCCTCTTCATTTTTATTTGCAAGACTTTTTCTTTGTCTACGAGCATGAGTCACTTCACAGAAACGAAAACCACCGATAGCTAGAGTAAAAAACAATCAATAATAAAGAAAAAGTTTAAAACAAAACATTCTTAATAGTGAACTGGCATTAATTCGTCAACTTTCATTCAGTCAATGAAACCACCGGTTAGAATCTCCATCCCCCCCCCATTTATCAACCTACTCTAGCAAGAGTGTAACTCATAGTCTCCATTGCGTTCGGTTCTCTGCTAGAGTCTTCACCTGGCTCCAAGTCTGCCAACCACATGCTTTCATCTCCTCTTCACATGACCTCCTCCAAGTCACCCTTGCACTGACGACCAACTCGCCGCTTCCCTTTCGGGTTCCACTCAAGGGCTTGTCTAGTGATGTCACTTGATGGTTTCCTCAGAGTATGGCCAATTCATCTCTATTTCTTCCTGCCTATTTGTTTCACAATCTGTTCTTGTTGGGTTGGTTCACTCCCAGAGATCTCTATTGCTGATCTTTTCTGGCCGGCCATCTGATCTTGAGTATTGAGCGAAGACAACTGTTAATGAAGGTCTGTAGTTTGTTTGAGATGCTCTCTATGACGCGCTGGCCAAGTCTCTGATCCGTATAGTAGCACTGACTGACTTCACATTGGAGTTGAAAATCCGGATCTTATTTTTGATGGTGAGTGTTGTTGACCTCCACACAGACCTGAGAGTAGTGAAAGCTTGTCTTGCTTTTCCGATTCTTGCTTTGATATCCTCGTCAGTTCCGCGTATAGTTGAAACGATGCTTCTCAGGTTGGTAAAAGAGGTTGTTTTTTTCAGGTTCCTTCCATTTATGATGATTGTTGTCTGTTGTTGTTGTTGCTGTTGGTGGTGTTGCCCGGGAATCTTCATCACCTCTGTCTTCTCTATGTTCACCTGAAGTCCTATAGTTAGTTAGATAATACCCACTTGCCTGGAACAGGCTGATTGTCTACTCGGTTGTGGAGTCACATGTTAAGGCAGAGGGCTAACAATACTACTCACTTACACCTAGACTGAAGTAAGCAGTGTGCAGGACTCGAAACCAGAATGCACTAGATGAAATTCGTGTTTTTCAAGCCTAACAACAACACACGAGAAAGAATACGTTCTCAACATGTGTGAAGAAATCTGTCTGTCTGTTTTCGACATAGAACTTTGCACATATGTGCGGCAGTTCAAGTCACCACACTCCCTCCTTGTAGCACAAAAAGCAAGAGAAGAAAGTAAGAGAAATGCATAATATAGACAGTAAACAGAGGTGTGAGACAAAGGTATAGTAATAACGAAGAACAAAACAGTTTCATTGGAAATCATAAGTCACAAGGAGTGGATGCATCTGCGTTAGCCACTGAGAACGATTTTGAGCCATATCACCAATTGTTTCCAGCCATTGGTTTTTACTGTCCCGAGGACCCCAACCAGGAAGTCTACACCTCCCTACGCGGCTTAGACTAATTGTTGTAGATTTCATTGACTGGTGCCCTGTTTTGGTTTGACTGCCGTTAGCTCTTTTCCAGTTTGACCCTATTTCAGCTAACATTGCCCTTCGAGGAAGGCGATGACTGGACATATGTAACACATGTCCTAACCATCCCAGACGATGTAATTTCACAGTCTCGTCGATTGATTTCCCCTCCTTACACAGCACTCGAGGTAAAGAAGAAATAACAGTAACGCCTCCAGCCACTGATTTTTAGTGGCTCAACAACTTCAACCAGGCAGCCTAAAATTATCTACAGAGTTCAAACTACTTGTCAAAGACTTTATGACCCCCCCCCCCCACCAGCCTCTTTTTCCAAAGTAATACTATGTGTCAGCTTACATTGCCCGAGGATGGAAACGATAGCTCACCATTTGTTACACGTATCCTAGCCATCTCTCACAACCGATGTAGCTTCACAACGTCATGAATCCACTTCCTCTCCTTAACTAACCTTAATACGAAATACCACTTGACAGTGGGGTGATGGAAAGCAAACAAAAAACACCATCTATGGTGAAAGACAGCTAGCCTCTTCAAATTCTCCAGTTTTCAACAAACAGGCCTCATAGCTATCCTGTGATGTGATCCATGAGTGGATATCACATCTACGTCAAAGAGATGACCACAAATGGACATATATCACACACACAAACGAGCCTTTCTTCATCTCATCCGTGATCAGATTTCATCAACAATCAGTCCTATTTGAGGCTGACAAAACTCCTCACTTAACAAAGGTAAGAAGCAAAAAGGAGTCGCACAAACACCAAATCTCAACAACAACAACAACAACACACGACACACTTACCAGTACGACTTAGTTGAAGGGATAAAAATTTCCGTGTTGGTCCATTGAATGATGCATACGGAGAGGGATTTAAGCAATGATCACGTTTCATCATTTCTGAAATAATTTGATCATCAATAATTTGATAATCTTTAAATGGTAAATCTTCTTTAGTAGTAGTAATATCATAATGATTAATACTGTTATTATTACGACTTTTATTATTTGGTGTACAGTCAAGGGAAGTAGCACTATTGGAGACAGCAACTGAACTCCTCCTGTCTGAAGCTCGCTTATTATTATTATTACGATTAGTAGTATTACTGTTAGTATTCATTTTATTCGACTCTTCCATCTGATTCGCGGCAGCAGCAGCACACTGTTCCGCGACACAATGCCATCGACGATAAGTATCACGTGCTAGTGCAGGATGCATCCAACTAGGAAAACGTTGTACAGCACCAGGAACTGATAAACCATTCTCTAACAAATAATTATTATGCTTATTTAATTCTTCAATCAATTTATACTGTTGGTTATTAACAGAATCAGCAGTATCCTCTGGTTTCGGTTTTGTTGACGGACGTCTACGCTTGTTACTCTTCTTGCTGTTGTTGTTGCTGGTATTGCTGTTATCATTTTCACTTTTAACACTGACAGTTTCTTCCAAGATTTCTTCAAATTTCGTGAAATCATTCAGTATTTTTGCTTTGTACATATCCTTCAGATTACAGGCGTTGGTATTTTTAGATGTTTTAAAGAAACTGCATTCAATTGGCTGATGTTTTACATAAGGGATTCGATACACCCTTAACGATGTTGTCGGATTAATACCCAACAGTTGAGGAAAGTGTACATAGATATACTTTGAAAAGAAATCAATACCCAGTTGTACAGGATTCGATGCCTCCCAATCAGCTGACCTGTCTAATGAGACACGAAGATTTTCAAATGATCTCTGGTGAAAATAAAAAAGGAAAGCAGCAGAAGACAAGGAATTTTTGAAACATATAAAAGTAATGATAATCAAGGTTACATTACATTCTTCTAGCCTACTAAAACTGAATTCCAGTCAACCATATTAGAAAATATGCAGTGGTAGAATGCTCGCCAATCATGCATGTGGTTGAGGGTTCGATTCCCGGCCAACAAATTCCTAAACCTTACTGTAAGGTGAGTACTAAGCGGTTTGTGAGTGTCCTAGCCGATAGCTGCTACCTAAATACGATGGTATTAGATGGTTGGAGGGAATCGGCCAAAGGAAACCCTAC